TATATATATATAAATGATTTGTTCAATGCATTTAGATGTCTCTTTGTCAAGAATGACTGTAAAACCACTAATATAAAACCTTCTAGTTTGTAATAAATAAGTATTATTCTAAATAATATGTGTTATTTTGCCATCATCAATAAATCAAATTATATTGATAAAAACTTATTATTCCCTATACATCATAAGTGAAATAAAGAGCTATCACATATGCACTGCTCAATATTCATATAATTGGTAGGCTATTACTTATACATAGTAGATAATTATATATAAGGAATTTTATTATAACAAAATAAGCAACAGATTTATTTATACAATGATGTGTCTATAGGTACATTATTAGAATATTCTAGAATAACTCGTTGTCCATCGACAATAGTAGAATCTTCAAATAATTTTATTAAAGGTGTATCCATCTCACCGTGTATTAGAGCTCCATTAGAATGATGGAAGAGTTGTAATTTATTCATAATAGTTAGATCAGTATTAGTGGGAACTTTAAGCGTATCTGCCATTGAATCTATACATTTGCCAATCGTCCACTGCATGTTAACAAAGACACCTTTAGATGTGCCTATGTGTTTATTTTTATATGTGAGTGGCAAGTGCACAAGGAAATAACATCTCTCACTCGTTGCTATATTTTTAGGACCAATTGCAGAACCTTTCACACGCATGAGTTGTACCTACAAATAAAGAAAGATACATATAAATTTGTTAACAATACTTCTTAGTATATTAAAAAGTACTTTTTTTTTCAAATATAACATATAATAATAATACCTTATTTGCCATTGCCGTATTCTTGGATTTCCTCAAGCTGTCTGCAATTTGTTGATCTACAACAGCTTTTGCTTCTGCAAATTGTTTCTTGGGTATTTGCCATTTTTTCAGTTTCTGGGTTTTCTCTATTTCAGTCAACTCCAAGCATCCATGATGCCTGTGTGTCAAACAAAAATGCTGTTTACACTTGATGCAGGGCATCTCGATCAATGATGTTTCCTTGCAGAACTCTTTACAGCATAGAAAATTTATTGATTTTCCTACGGGAAGTTTTGCATTTTCCGTTTTTAAACACTCGTGCAACACCATATGAAAGTGTTCTTTACAAAAAGTGGCCTGACAATGTTCGCACACAAATGGCAAAAAATCCAATAATTTACAGTCTTTCACTGAACAGTGTTTGCCAGTCTCTGGGAACTCCATTGTGATGCAGCAAGAAAAGTTATCAAGATATATATATATATATAAAATGTATGATCTATTAATTCTTCAAACACTTGAGCAACAATATTCAATTGTGCAGAGGTGTCGGGGAATGCAGATGATTGTCACTGAGAGAACTCAAAGCTAGATTGTTCCACTTTTGCTCCAATTCCTTCAATGTCATGTGAGAATCTCCGTTATCACTCTCAGGATCTGGCAATTCAGCCACCGGCGTTGAGATGTCGTCGATAGGTAAGCGTTCCTTGCGCCAGCTCTCATCGATTACGTCTATCAGTCTGCCATCTCCACATACCTGACTGTCCATGTCGTTAATCACAGTCAATACATTTAGCTTTAAGAAAAAAATTATCATATTTACAATATTATTTTAATTATATAATAAATCTTAGACTAATATCGTATCAAGAATAATTATGTCCATTATAATATTTTTATTTTTTAATTAAAAAATACATCAAATGTTTCATATGTATAAATATACTTTATATATATAAATATACTTGAGAATTTTTTCGTGGATACAAGTATGAATTGTAATCGTTTTCTAAATAAATCTAAATTTCTAACTAATCGATTTCTAAGTAATCACTAAGCAGTTGTATACTATTTCCGAATACCTACCACCGATCAAAGAACCGTAAAATTAATACAATTGTTTCGTTATATTCGTATAATACAATTTATAGAAAATCTCAAAAATCAGCAAAATTGGTAGAATGATACATTGAAATACTAACTGCCACAAAGTATGTAATAAGTAGTAAAGAAAAATCTTTATCCCGATGCTTATCGCACTACAATCAGAAATTTCTTTGGTCTATCTATTGGAACGAATTACAGGCTTTACAGGTTACAGAACAGGAGATGATTGGCGTTTATCGCATCTTACTACATGCACGCATGTCGCAAGTTCGCATGCGCGAGAGACGGGACATCTCTCGCTCTCATGTGTGCGTATCTAGTGCCATTTTTGGAGCAACGAGAAGGAATGCATGCGATTTCACGAGATCAAGCTAACGAAATCGAGACGATTGCTTTTGCGCGTAAATCGCGCAAATATAATGGCGACGCCGACCAACAGCAGCGGTAATCTCGTCGACGAGTTCGAAGAAGCGTTTCAGGTAAAACATTCGAATTTTAATTTTTATTGCGGTACGTGTGCTTTTCTTGCCATGAAAATCTGTGTTTACAAATTGTACATTTGCGTTATTATTTTTTTGCCGTGAAAAATATCGGGAGACATTCTTGCGTCGATAATTTTTACCAAGTTTTACACATCGAACGTGGAATGTATAAATTAAAAGAATTGTTGCAAAATAACTACTTACACAATTGTCAGTATTCATTAATATGACAGACTGCTTTTAACAAATCACTTGTGTCCGAACCATTGTTATACGTTAAGATTGTATGTTAATATTGTGAAAGTTGTCAGCCACATTTATTAAAGATTGATCATCGATTTTCAGCAATGTTTGAGCATGCTGATAAAGGACGAAGGATTAGTCAGCAATGGGACTGGTGCTTCTGGTGGTTTGACAGTGGATAAAGATGAAGGTCGTGCAGAAATGGAACAAGCTACAATGAGGTTCATAGATCTGGCTAGACAAATGGAGGCTTTCTTCCTACAAAAGAGATTTTTGCTGTCTGCGTTGAAGCCTGAGATGGTAGTCAAGGAAGATATTCAAGAACTGAGAATGGAATTAGCTCGCAAGGAAGAGCTCATAAAGAGACATAATGAGAAAATTGTAGTCTGGCAGAATATGTTGTCGGATTTACAAGGATGGGCACAATCACCCGCTCAAGGTCCAGCACCTAATGGTGAGCTAATTTTAATGCTTTTATTGAAGTAAGACATTCAATAACATTAATATTGATTGATAATAGGATTACCCAGTGGAAATCAAAGTGGGCAAAACCAACAGGCTGGAAGTGGCGGTGGCAATGCTTCGATACAGCAGCAGCAGCAGCAAATGTTGCAGCATCAGCAGCAACTGCAACAGCAATTACAGCAGCAGCAGCATCCACAATTGCAACAACAATTGCAGCATCCGTTGCAACAACAGGTATTTAAGTAATGCTGTGTTATGACCAAAGTTAAAAATCACCTTTGTTCTTCAGGATCAGACAGATCAGGTTGATAAATTTGGTACTTAAAGTATACGCATTTTTGGAATTACATAAAATAAAAGAAAAAACGAAGAACGTTGCCACATAAGATAGGGGAGAGTAAATTGTTACAATTGATAAACATGTTGAATGAAAAAATTAAAGATTCAATTTTCCATAACTTTAATAAGATCCACAAGCTCCCCAATCTTTTGTAACTTTATCGAGAGCGATTTTTTTCGAATAGTCTTATTGCTTCAAATGTAAATTGATTCTTCACATTACCTTGATATTAATATTAGATCTGTTTTTATATTACGCAATTACGCAGTTATACAAAACCAGTGTTTTATCCGCGTAATCATGTTCTTTTGCTATTTTTTTTACTATAGTATATATTTATTGTTGCGTTGTCTTTTTCCTGTTATTCATTGCATTTGGTCATAGATGAGTGATTGCATGCACATGCTCGTGTCTATGCGCGAGGATGTGTATTTGCAAAATTATATATCTGAGAATTATAGATTATTAAGTAAATTTGATAATTCTAAAATACTCATTAGAAAGCTAGAAAATGTCTTGCTGTTTTTTTCAAACAGTAGTTGCTAAAGAGGAGATTAGATAAATAGGGTCCCATCGGATAAGGGATAATAACTATAATAATGCGTATATCAGTGCCTTATAAAAATCCTATCCATAGAGACCTAGAAATGTATAAAGGAAAACAGATTAAAGTGCTTTTATGATTAACTGCGATATAGAAGTGTATACAAAAATCTGAATTTTATTTATGAGGAAAGTATTAAAGGATTAACTGTACATGTAAAAAACTGTTGTAAGATGGTGCCAAAACAATGAAGACGAAAATATGTACAAATATTTAACCAAAAAGTAAAAAAAAAAAAAAAAAAAGAAGAAAGTGTAATAAATCTAATGGCAATAATAAAGCTTAGGAATATTCATAGTTAGTATATATATGTTTCACATATTAACACAAAAACCTATTAGTAATTATCTATACTGCACATTTTCGAAAAGACTAACTCGTGTGTATAAGTTCAAATATATATGGTGAGAGAAATGACATTTTTAAATATTTGATATGATTTCATATATAAGAAAGATCATATTTATATATATATAAAGATATAACAAAATGACGTAATATAGACGTTTTATCTCTCTTTTATCTTATTTTTTTATATCTTTTTTTATGGGTGAGACATAATTCTTCGCATATCTTTGTATTCGTAAAGAAATATATATAAGATACTCACATTCTTCTGCATGTAGATATTGTATGCATGAACATCATGTATTGTTAAACAAATTGAATTTTTCGACTACGAAAATCAGTGGTAAAGTATAAATTACTTGTAAATCAGAATAACTATTCAAGTTCCTTCTGCAAATTTCGCGAGACCCGCAAATAAAGAGATATATTTCTTTATATATTTAGATAAATGTGTATAGTGATAGAGAGTATTTATATATAAATCTAAGTTTGCAAAAATATATATAAATTCTTAGTGAAGCATTAGCTGTTGCAATCTGAGAAATATCGTTTCACTTATGTTGTTTTCACTTGCAAATAGAGATGTTGCGGCAGAATAAATATCTCTGTTCATCGCAAACAAACAACCATTGTGCTTTCTTTCATTGCCCTTGCCTATTCTTATCGTCATTCCTGACAAATCCGACGGATTTCTCTCGTTATTCGCGTGTGTCCCATTTCTCTAAACGTATGCATGCTACGTGTAGAATCTATATTTTTGGATAACTATTTCTCGCGTTGTAACGACAAAGTAACGTGAAGTAGTATTATTTTTCTTTAATATCACAGCAAGAACAGAGATAGATGTTAAATGTAAGCTTAAGTAAGCTCGTTATATCGCTGTGCTGTATATCTTTCCGCTGCATTCCTGGTGTTGTGTCACATACATATATTATGGGGGAAACATATCCTTCTCACAGGCACTCCCTGTTACAGTACATCCTCACTTGGTGTGACTTTGCAGGTGCAGCAGGGCTCCGGTGGCCCGCCGACATCAGGCCTTCAAGGAGTCGGCGTGCCAGTCAGTCAGCAGGGCATGTTCATGGCGCAAGGAGTAGCCGGTGGCAGGACCGCCGGGTTCCCGGTCGGCGGTATGGGCAATAGCGCTCTGCAGGGGCCTCTGGCCTTCCTGGAAAAGACAACGAGCAACATAGGGATGCCAGAGAGGCGGAGTTGACGCGGAAGGGGGAGGGGCCGGGGCCGGGGTCGTGGAAGAGGCCGAGGTAGAGGAAGAGGCGGCGGCGGTGGCAGTGGTCTACCGCCGCCACCACCGCTTCTCGATCCCTCAGACCCATCGTCCTATGCTGCTGCTGCCGCAGTCGCAGCCGCTGCGGCAGCGCCCCTTCCCTCTCCGCAACAGCAGCCTCCTCCGCCTTGCACGTAAACATTTAATATGCGTGGCGCTTTCATTTCTTCTTTTGAAAGAAAAACAGACTATATACTTCTTGTAGCTCCGAAGTGTCCAATATACTTGGTTGTTATGTGGGATTTGTGTTTGAACTTGCAGACTTAAATATGTTGTGTCAAGTGATGCTGATGGTGACCTTTGAAATGCAGTGATACATATTACAATTACATTGGAATGGAGACGGACACGATTAATATGTACAAATGTAATGTTTACGACAATTTATGAGCTTATTGAGGTCTCAATGGCAAACGCAGCGTTTTGATAGTGCCAGTTTTATTGTGATTCAGTATAAACATCGCATTTCTCGTGAAACTATTCCATATGCGAGGGATGGACATTTTTTTAATTCTTTGTACTAGTCCCGAAAATTTTAAGACGGGAGCGAGAGCTTACGCGGAACGCGTAAAATTGCGATTTAGAATAAGAAATGATAGATACTTTGTAATTATAAGTTGAAATGGCAATGAAACAATTGTACATAATGAAATTGTGTGACATGAGTAATGTGATATTTTTACTCTCGTACATAAGAATATCTCTTCCTATTTCTTTATACCACACATTCTAGTTTATGATATTATTTCTTCAAGATTGTGTGTTAACATTTTTATAATAAAAATATGCGTTTATCGCTTTTGCAGTGCCTTTGAACAATTATCAAATGTACTGTTTGTGCGATATCAGTGAAATTATTTAATGTAATGTAAACTAGAATGCATGTCGATTATGCTAGATTAGTATAAGCATCTGTGTCCTGGAATATCTGCACACCATTTCAAAATTTATTTATTTTTGTATAAATTCTTCAAATTCTTTAAAATTTAATTCTATTCCATATTTATTACTAATGTGCACTTTTGTGTATCGTATGTGGATACATTCGTTACACATGTGAAACAGAATTTTGATTTAAGATTCAATCAAGATTTTAAGGTAAAATTTTAAATGTTTTATTATGATGACGATCTTTATGTTATGGAATTATTTTTTTATGATTATACAATGTTATGCCTTCTTTGCCATTAAAATATTTTTTATGATGTATACTATACATATACATTATACATATAATATCGTGTTTTATCATAAAATTATAAGTTTAGGCAATGATACTTAGCAGAACAATCAAATTTGCATGTAGAAGAAAGATATGCATTGTAACAATTATTCTAGAATATATATCAGATTTATCATTTTTTTATTTTACATATATATGTTTATATATATAGTTAGGCTCTAAAGACATATGTAGCAGTCGCAAGTATTGTATAAAGCGGAAAATGTAAGATAATTTTATGTGCACTTTTTATCCAATACAACACAAAAAATATTTTCTAATATAAGAAAATTATTGATTTCATGTTAATAATAAAATAGATGAATGCAATCGTTTATTTCTCATATTAATAGACCATTTTATATATACTTTTCACATGTCTCTTATATAAACCTAGGACACAGGATGCTTATATTTTTTTTTGAGATTCAATATATAAAACACAATGTATGTAATTTTCATCCTGTACAATACTATATTGTATGCACTGTAATATACATAGAATTGATACGAATATTAAAGCACGCATTCTTACTTTTACTATTCTAATTAATTAAAGATCCTGATTGTAATAAGAAAAGAGCTCGGTTTTACACACACAGGTATTTTGTACAAAATTGTAAAAGAGTTTTGTATAAAACTTATTTTCAAATCTATTACATAATAATGATAGTTTGCTTTTTTACAATCAAATGTATAGCCGCATATATAAAATAGAATTATCAGTTTGATCAATTTGTAACAAAAATTGTATCTCTTTTATACAGGGGAATAGTGTCTAATAGGGGAAGACTTTTTACTTTTTAAGACAGTTCTTTGAAAAATAAAGATTAACTACTGTAGATTTAAAAAAAGGTTTGAGATAGGTTATACTGATAGAAATAATTCAATAATAGAATTTTTTTAAATATTCCTATATGTGTCACTATTTTATTCACATTTGTCTTTTTTGTTGCTGAAACAGCAATTTTGCAAGAAAAATTAAACTAAATGTATTGTGTTCAATGTGATACTGCAAGCAATGAATGAATTTTAATATTAGACAATTTTATAAAAGAAGTAAAAAATTTTATTTAAAAAATATAAAATTTTTTCTTTGTCAAAAATATTATTATATAATTAAATTTCATGGAACAGGATGAGTCTGGAGTTATTTAACTTTGATAAAGATTATTGATAATGATTTGTGAAGATTGTTGCAATAAGATGAACAATTTTTATTTTAATATTGTAAAGTATTCTATTTCCAAGTATTCTTTCATTATATGTATACATTACTTTTGTTTGCAGGTTATGTATTTTATACATATAAGTGGTAACTTTTTAAAGAGATATAGGCAGTGCCTAATATGGTGAGGTCATAAAAAGGTCATAAAAAGTTGATATATTACCTTATTTTCAATTATCTTACCACATAATGCATTCAAAGACATCAAAGATAAAATCTGTATAAACTGCACTTGTGTGAACCTTGAATTATAGATATATACTGAATATATATGTATATTCAATACTGAACAGTAATTAAATATGTATATTCTCTAAATATACATTATCTCTATACCAGTGGTAACATATTTCCATAACATGCAAACATCACAATCTTAAGCAGAATTCTCAAACTTCAAGTTTTGCATTACTCAATGTGGGCGATACAATAAATGTAATTTCAAACTTACGTTAGATGTGTTACTAGCCTGTAGCACCCAGCCTGTGTTATCTTTGATCTTGATAAATTCTTGTAGTACGGACTCAATTGACGAGCTTGTTAATTACCTAGCAAAATACTATAAAAATACTGCTACTGGCCTGTGGTGAAAGTTATTTATGCATTTTATCACTATGTTATCATTTGAAGCCGGATAGACCGCATCAATATAATCCTCTCCATATTAGGCGCAATTCAATATTATATATCTATCTATATATGCGCACACACACACACACATACATATACATATATAATATTGTATCTCGTATATACATAACCTTCTATGTGTAAACTTTTATGTATATGTATATAAAATTATACAAGAGAACCCGCCTGAGAGATGTACGAATTGCGTAAAATAATTCGCTGCAAACTCCGTTTAACGCGATTTCTACAATGTTTGTAGAAATTGTATTAGCGTACGTGTAGGACGCCCAGTCATCCCGGCAGGAATATACGGTAATTCGTCGTGGGCGGGACCCATGACACCGGCTATGTCCAAATGCATCCATGGTGTATTCTTGGCGACAAACTCTCTCAAGAAAGCAGCAGCGGTACAAGAGCCACCACCCTTACACTTTGCGATATTATTTATGTCGGCACCCTTGACTTTTTCTGAAAATTATAGGTTTTATCGGTGTCAAGTGTTTTAAATAAATGACAGATAATAAGGACATTATATTCGAGTTTTCTCTATCGATAGTTACAAGTAAAGACGGTAATATTGCTGGATATACACGTATAAATTGGATATATAAAAAAAGTATATCCAAATTTCTAAAATAAGGAATAATTATTTTACTGAAGAGTAATTTTTACTTACTCGTTACTTCGTCAGTAAAATGCTGCCACAGAGGGAATCTCCATACTCGATCGCCGCTTATCGTGCCAGCATTTCTCAGAGTTTCATAGAGATTACCGTCATTGGTGAATACTCCTGTCGCGGAGTTGGACAGGGCGATTCTCATGGCACCGGTCAACGTAGCAATATCCAAAATAAATCTATTTGAATCAAAGATCTATCAGTCTACTACGATAATATATATAATAGACAATAAATAAAAATCTATTAAGAATACACATTATTAAAGATATTTTATAAAGTATAAGAATCTTCAATTGGGCATATTATTAAAATTCAAAAATTGTATAGTTTATAGAAGAATTTTATCAGTTCCACATGTAATTACGCTCAACATAATTTGTCATCATGTCATGTTGTAAAAACGATTCGGAGCTACTTACGTCGGATTAAACTCCTGAGCGTAGCACAACGCGTCGGCGAGAATCAGCCTGCCCTCCGCGTCAGTATTGTCTACGATAATGGTCTTGCCATTCATCGCCCGTATCAGATCTCCCGGCTTCGTGGCGTGTCCAGATGGTAAATTCTCCGTGAGTGGAATTAGTCCGACGATATTTTTCTTCAATTTCAGCTCCGCCGCAGCTCGAATGGTAGCGGCTACGCAAGCAGCGCCGCTCATATCAGCGCGCATTTCGTCCATTTCCGATGGTGGCTGCAATCATGATAATTGCTCTCCCTTAAGATTTTTCTTCTTTTTATATCATAAAAAAAAGTAACACGATTTACCTTAAGGCTGATGCCACCGGCGTCAAAGGTGACTCCTTTGCCGACAAATGTCACCGGGGACTCACTCGGGTTCTCAGCGCCTTTGTAATTGATCTCTAGGAATTTAGGTGGTTCGCAACTACCACGGGCCACGCTAAGGAATGAGCCCATCTTCTTCTGTTCGGCCCAGCTCTTGTCACGCACTTGAACATCGACCCCGAGATTCGTTAGAATCTCGGAGACCCGTTGCGAGAATATTGTGGGCGTCATCAGATTCGCGGGTGTATCCGCGAGTTCGCGAGCCCAATTCTGTGCCTGAGCCTTGATAATACCCACTCGCCATTCCGCCCTAAAAAAATCATTACGTTAGAAAAATATGTTTATAGTCTCATGCAATAGAAAATCTAAATTTTTGGATGGTGAGGATAAAGAAACTCACTCTCCTTCTTCTCCGTAAAGAGAGATCTTTGGTAACTTCTTCTTCTTCTCCTCATTTTTATATCCTTGATAAAGCCACGTAGATAAACCGGCTCCCTCGGCGGCGGCTTCCGCATCTCCTAGTGTTTCCAGGTTGATGTCCATTATCTCGACATCGTCCAAAGCACGGCATCCCGCTAAAATAATATAATACTTTATAAAATTCCTAATAATAAAACAGAGTATCAAGAAAATGAATAATGTTTTTATTTCAAATGTAAAATAAAACAATTATCTTTTTAATAATTTTTGTTTAAAATTTGCCTAGAAAAATAAAATATATGAGCGATTTAAATATAAATGGTTCAATATATTAAAATCAATTATAATCATGCCATAATCTCATAATGTATAAAAAGAGTAAAAGAGAGAATATATGATTATCTTTTATGAATATATATAACTATCTCAAAATATTAGAAAATATCAAAACTCTTCTAGTCTAGTGTATTATATAACCATATTTAAATTTTATATATAACATATATACAGTATGTATATAATACATTAAAATGTTAATTTCAAAGTACAATTTAAAAATTTAAGATATCTGAATAGATTGTAATAATTCTTTTTTTTTTACTTAGTATATTGAATAATAAGAATTACCTGCTGCAGCAACACGTACACTTTCCTTTCCTTCATGAATCTCTTCAAGTTTGTTAATACCAAGACCTTGTTTTCCCAGACTAACTACCGCGACTCCACTGTAATCTGTTTCATCCAAACCCCAAAACACTCTAGCATGACCCTTAGGAATCTTTGGTCCCGCTCTGTAGCGTAAACATTCGTTTGAAGTTAGTCAAAACATCTCATCACAATAATATATTTTTTTAATAAGGAAAAATATGCGATAGTAATATACTTAGAAGACAGAGATTCAGACACAAATTCGTAAATTTATTAATTACAATAGAATCTAGGCATTTTTTTGACATTTATTTCATATACGATATAATGATTTGCAATTTTAAAATACACTCTAAAAATATACTATTCTTTATTCTAGAATATTTTTCTTCATCCAGTTATACATTATACACTGGTACATTTACAATTATTCTCTTCCGAGGATTATAGCTATACATAAATTCACAACTGTTGCTTTGTGATCAGCATCAATACATTTCGAGATTATAGATAACTATTTCACATTCAGTTCTCACTAACAAGTTGAATTTGCGAGCAATCTATTTAGCGGCTTAAGATATAATACATCATAAAATTTTTGTGTTAGCAAATATTAGTTTTTTTTTATATACAATAATGTTATAAGCAATAATATGACTTTGTCATGGGGTTTAGTTGGCATAGTTGTACAATGAATCAAATTAAAAATAGATTTAAGAGCTTTTTATTAATAAGCAAAAACTAATGGACGTCTCATTAATACTCTTATAATTGAAACTTAAATAGTAATTTTATATTAAAAAAAGATATATTCCTTATTCTATCATGTTTAAATTTCAAAATGTTACACAAAAAAGTGATATGTGTTTTAAACAATTTAAAATATATTAATTGTTTGCCCTTTGTACATTTTGGCACTTTAGGATTGCCTTTTACAACAATATTCATAATCTTTAGAACAATAATTTGTTATTTAATTTTGTTTTTCATTATTCCCATTAGACATATAACACAACAAAAGTTCTAATGTAGAGTTATATAGAAAGAAATAATAATATTATAATCATATAAAACTTTTCATATGCAGTAAAAGAAATATTTTTCCGAGAATCACAAACACCGGAACATTTCAACAGAAACATGCGTTCTCTATATGTGTACGATTATCGTCAAAAATATGAGACGTTGATTACATCTTATCACACGTTTCTGTTTACAAAATCATGCTATCATGATACTAACAAGTCGCTTTAAGCTGAAGATTCTATTACACTAACTGGTTACAAAAAAAATTTTCCAAAACTTTTGACTTTTCTACATACTGTGACAGCTAAAATACCGATATTTTTATACTCGAAATATTGATATTGCAATTGTTAATAGTTCTAAAAAAAATACAGGTACGATTTGTATATATATACGATTACTAGTCAAAATATCATTATATATATATCAATTTTGACGGTTTTCCTTTCTAACGTTTTAACTTTTATCAATTTTTAAAAAACTTAAATAACTGTATTTTAAATTTATTTGGCAGATTTTGTAAAACAAAATTGTGGGATGTGTTCTATTAAACATATGTATCAATTTTTAACGATTGATGCACGTGATTGAAATACTCGCCATTCTAAATTCACAAGAAACATTATTCAACAAAAATACTTTGGAATATATACATACATTGCTCTAAATTTTTGTAGATTTAAACCTCATTTTTAGCAGTATTGCGCTTATTTTAATGAACCTCACTCTCATGTTGCGATCATGTCTAAAATATATATATGTATCCGCATAAAATACAGTTTAACAAGCGTGCAACTATGATATTCCCGGCGAATATTAAGTATCAGTAACTTAATATAAAATTATAAAAGATGTATAATCACTTTAATTTTGTAAATGATCGTATGTGTGCACAAACATGTCACATAACATGTGTGTTATAACATGTTATAACATTGCAAAACTTTTATCATTAAGATTCAGTCTGTACAAATTTATAGAATTATATATACCTAAAATTATACCGATGGGAAAATAGAGTAAGATATATACGAAAACGCGTAATAATTAATAATATTAATTTCCCTAATTTTACACACAATGTACAATCCAGAGAAAATACTTGTGCTCTCCTCGGTAATATTGAGCATGGATCAATTAGAGATTACTATTTTTCGTAAATTATTTATTCGCCGATAATGCACGTTCAATACGAATATTAATATTCGATTTAAATTCCGTTATGTTAAAAATTTTCTCTACACGTCGTGTTATGATAAATTATATATTATGCTATTTAGAATAATTCCGTCATTTCTCGTTGTTATTCACACGCTATTCATTCAATTTACTTAATTATTCTCTGTTCAATTAATTTTAATTGTTTTTAAACCAACTCTAATATTTTGATAATTCCTTGAGAGTTAGCGGCTACCACGACATTGGACATCTGTCTCCAACATACCGCGGACACAAACTCATTTAGATCTTCCTCTCTTCTATCTTGCAGTTCCAGTATGCTTCGAACGGCATCGAATTTGTAAGAAAACAATTGTTTCGTTAGTCCTTTATAGTACACGTATAACGCGTTATTTTCCGACCCGCAGGCGACGTAATCGCCATCAGTAGCGAGTCCGACAAAATTTTTCTCGTTTACATGTCCCACGAACGATCGTAGACAAAGCGGATTATTTATATTCCACATTTTCAACTGAGAATCCGTACTAGCAGAGACAATCTCCTCCTTGTTGATAAACTTAACGTACGAAACGGCCTTACGATGGCCCTTGAATATGCATAACGCCTCCTTCATGTTACGCAAATCGTAATAATGTACGCAATGATCTGCGGAACCAAATGCCAGATGACAAGAACTGCGTGGATTAAACTTCACGCAACATACGTTCGCCTTGGCCTCCAACGACGCCACGGAATAATCGGTATTCAACGCCCATAATTTGACCCGGGCGTCGTCGGAGCCAGATGCGATCAATCGCGTGTCCACGTCGTTGAAATCGACGGACCAGCATCTCTTTTCGTGTTCTTGAAACGCCTTGGTTCTCTGACCGGTCGTCGCGTCCCATACTGTCACGGTACCCTCGTAGTCTGATGAGGCAAGCATACCCTTGTGGAAAGAATTCCACGAGACGCACGAGATTTTCGAACTGGAGACCATCTCAACGCAAGGATAATGAATGTCAACGGTGTCACGTATAACGGCACCGTAATCGAATACCTTTATCCGTTTCGTTACACCGGCGATCGCAAAGAACTCGTTGTCCTTATCGAACTCGATGCTGGAAACGATTGTGGAATTGTTGAAGAGATCCGATGAGTAATTGAGAGTCGCCAATGGACGCAGGGAATTATATCTTGAGAACTTGACTAGATTCTCACGAAAAACGTCTAGACCGGAACTTGTGCTATGTGCTCCGCCGTGTTGCTGCGTTTCGCTCTGTGATTGCGATTTTTGTCCAAGCAGTAGCTCCTTGCCACGGGAATCAAAATAACATTGAACAAAGTCATCGAAATGAGCGTGCAGTCTCTTCCTACGTATAGCTAGGGTTGATCCACTGGGCTGACTGACGTTTGGATTAATCAAACTATCAGTGCCGCTGATCACCTTGTCGCTAGGTTTCACCATATTCGAGTCTATTATATCTATAAGGCCGAGCATTTCCCGTCTAATGGCCGAAACTTGCGCCGTGTCATTCTCGCTCGCCTTTTTGACATCTTCCACCCGTGGACACTTGCTCTGAACGTCCTTTAGAATATTCTCAACTTCTTCCATATCCTTCTTGATCAACACCACTTCCTTTTGCAATTGATTCCTTTGTTCTTCCTTCTGTTGCAACAGATGCTTTAGGAATTCATGCAGAAGTTTGTTTTGCGCTGTACAAGTCTCTGCTTCGAGTAAATGCTTTCGTTGAGTCAGCACCTCTAACATTACATTTACATCAGGTAGAGTGAGATTGGCGCTCTCTGCTGCAACGATGCTTCTTAATCCATCGGACGCGGGTACCGACGAATCGTTACCGATCATTCTGTGTCTACCATTCTCCGTGTAAGAGCCTAACTGCGCTAGGCCCTTAGTTCTTGTCTTATATTTGGAAACTAGCTCGTCCAACAGAAAGTTCGGGAAGATGTCCTGTTCGTTTAATGTAAAACTGCATTTTGGGCAACGATCCTTAATCTCTAAACACTTTACGATACAATGGTGACAAAACGTATGTCCGCAACGCGTGATATACGCCGTGTCGATAAGATCGAAGCAAATTGGACACATGTAATCGTTACTCTTATCTTCTAATATCCCGGTCATCCTTTGTAACACATTCGTAGGTTGATGAAGCTTATTAATTTTACTGCTACTGTCGCCTAATCCACCACAACTGCTCCCTGCGCTGCTATCGTTTCCCATATTACTGTTGCCAGGAGTCGACATTACTACTATTACTATATTCAATTTCTGATTCAGTCTTTAAGCAGCAAAGATTAATTAACTGAAGGGTTAACAGCTTAAAATCTCCCTAAGTGGGCATTCGATTTATCTGACATCGCGTCGAAAAGAATATGTCATAAATCAGGCAGTATTATTCTCTAGTTATATTTTCATTTATAAAGCGCAGCATATGTCTAGGAAATCCTTGTGCGGAGCAAGTTGCGCTTCATATCATATGTATAATATCGTCTCTCAGTCTAGTCACTCCTGAAACAATGAAAATAATGCCAGTGAGCTCGTGGAGTACAAAACTCTTGTTTAAAAATTCAAAATTTTCAATAACAAAAAATACTTTATGTAAGAATTTTAAGATAACAAAGGGAAAGCACTTTTGAATGTCAGAAAAAAGCTCAGGCAGCATTATATAACAATTGTTTCAGGCTGGAAATATGAATAAAATATTTAAACATATTGTTATGTGTTGTATGGTTAAACAAAAGTGAAAGAACAATTTGGCAAAATGCAATGGTGTACAGAAACTGTCTTGTATAGTTCATAGTTCTGTATCTTAATGTGTAACATTTATTGAATAAAGTATGTGGAGAGAATATCCATATATATATATATATGTATGTATATGAGGGAACGTAAGTCACAACCCTTCGTCGAAAGAAGAAAGGGGTCAATATGGAAAAAGTGAAAAACATACTTCAATATCGAGTAAACATACGTGTCCAAGTGGTCAAGATAGTCTCGCAAGTATATTCTACAACAGCGCACAAGGGGTACAGCCTTGTTAGATAAGAACGATACTATATATAACATAGACGTATTGCGGTGTGATACCATCTCTAAAATCGCGCGGATGCACAAAAGATAACCAGCAGTAATAAGTAATAATGACATATTGAGACTTACAGCAAGATGTTCTGCAGCAGCTTTCCGTTAACTAATTCATTGTATTTGGCGGCAGTAGGAGTAAACACGACGTTGCTCTCGCTCTCTGTTTCGTACACACCGAGCACCAATCCCTTCTGTAAAAAAAAAGAAATATGCTAATTGTGTCGAGGAAATGGACGATAAGTTATTCTCGATTATCTGCGTTTCTTATTCGATCAACGAACAAGTACGTTAATAAATTTCAAATTTGGGGCCATAAACACTAACGTTCAATTGTTGACACTGTTATTCGCGAAGAAGAAAAAAAGAAAAAATAATTTGCATTTATGTTCGAAATATTTCGAACGCGCATACAACGACAGATTGTATCGGATGCATTCGTCGCACGGACAATTTTCCAAAACCCGACGAAAATTCCGCGTTTCTTCATCTCGAGAGCCAAACGCGCTTCATTGACGGCAAAAAACAACGGCGAGTAAGATTTTACGTAATTACCTTCATGGTCGATACGTTGGCAAAGAAACGCAAGAGTGAATTTCTGCGCGGTGATACCTTAGCCCTGATAAAAGACAATGCCATAATTCGTTCCCGAGAGCATTAGGTGTGATATATATATATATATACCACGCAGGTAGAATGAAGAACGGCGACTCTACATTAAATTTGATTTCGATCGTTGCGCCACGCGTGGTCAATCGCGCGAACTACGAATGCAAGTAATTATCGTTTTTTTTTCTTACCGATAAAGCCAGGATTCTTTGAGCGCATGTGACACAATCGTAAGTATATAATTTTTCTATAATCATATATAAAAATGCATAGTTCTCTCTTTCTTCATTCAGTAATAATTTGATTTAATCCACTCCATTTAGATTTTAATAAAAATATATTTATTTGAGAGAGATGATGTGTATCTAAGTTAATTGTATTTTTTGCATACAGAAACTCGTCATTCACATTCAACACGTTTTTGATGAATGTTTCATCAAAATTGATGAACGGTCCAATGGTCCAACCTTACGTCGCCAATGAAATGGTGTGCTTTTCGCAACGTGGGCCCAAACGTGCCTTTCATTTCGGGAGCTGCTAGAAATCTCGCATCTCGGTCGATCGACGTCGCATGAGTGGGATAAAGTGGAGTCAGTTGTGAAAACGGTAGAAGGGGGACTGTGGTCGCGATAGAATGTTGGGGGCCCCGTAAGTGTGTCGAGGGCTTGTCATGTGTCAAATTTTTCGCCCCGCATCCGAAACGCGATCACGTACTATAACGTTCTTCGGCGATCGCGCGTGCGATTCAAAGAATTCCGGAACACGCACGACAATCGGATAGATTGTCCCCGGTCTTTCGTGGCCCATCGGTCCCCCCCGCGAGAGCGAAAACACGATTCCCGCAGCTGCTTCGAGAATTGGAATGCGGGATCAACATGGAGGTGGCGGATAGATCGATATTGCTCGGTGATGTCACGCGCGGTCGCTGACTCTCCCTGTCCGGCATCCTGTTGTGAGTAAAATTCTCACGTAGAGATAACTATGGCACGAAAAATATCGATAAAGCCTCAAGTCATAATTCGTACGCATATATATCGGTGGTCGCGTTAAAAAATTTGAGATTTATAGTGGCGAATTTTTTTCAAAAGTAATACTGCTTCTCGTTGAGGTATGCGCGACTAACAGTCATCAATGAAGCAATAAATCTTTGGGAAAAGTATGGAATATATGCATTACATATTTATCTTCATAAATTCATAAGTCTCTATCTGTGAATAAATTAATTAATGCCGTAACATATGTCATAATTGATATAAGCTATCATCAATGAGCTAAAACTAAATTTTTTTATGAATTTTTTTTTTTTTTTTTTTTTTATATAAATTTAAGCATCTTTTGTAAGTTGTAATCTATGTTTACCAATCTTAAATACTCTGATAATTAAATGTTAAATCAAAATCTTTTCTCTCTTCTATGCAGATATACATATTTATGAAGTAAATTTATCAAGTATATACTTTTTAAATATAATTTCATCATATTAAACATCATATTAAACATATTCACATTTAATATTATCCAATGATTGATTACGTTATCTTAATAAAAAAAAATCTTAATTTTAAATATTTTCCAAATAATCTAAACAATTATATGTATGTATATACTTGTAGGATGCTAAGTGTAATTGTATTGAAATGAACTTAAAATTGTAGAACGGAGCATGGAATGGACGGATCATGCCCACTCCTCTTTCCCAGCTTCAGAGAGCAGAGTGGCTCTGAGCGGGGAGGAGGCTACTCATCGCAGAAGGTCGGCGTATACCGTCCGAGTTCGGATGCCATCGACTTGGGTTATCACACCCTCGACAACAATGCTTGCCGCACCACATCGTCATCGTCCTCGTCGACTCCGGTGGTATCGAGCGTGCCCGCCCGTCAACAACAACAACAGCAGCCATCACAACCCAAACACCTGATACATCATTCCGTAGTTAGCGACTTTTGCCAGCTTGATGATAATCTGCTGCTGAAGATTTTCAGCTGGCTTGATACCCGTGATCGCTGCGCTTTGGCGCAGACATGTCGACGTCTTTGGGAGATCGCGTGGCATCCGACGCTCTGGCGGGAGGTCGAGGTGTGTTATCCGCAAAACGCTACTATGGCACTGAACGCGCTAACGCGTCGCGGCTGTCACACCTGTATCCGTCGTTTGGTCCTGGAAGGCGCCACAGGTTTGGCTGGCATCTTCATCCAATTACCATATCTCAATTTAACTTCCCTGGTGTTGCGACACTCGCGACGCGTCACCGATGCCAACGTCACCACCGTACTGGACAGTTGCACCCATCTTAGGGAGCTCGATCTGACCGGTTGTTCCAATGTTACACGAGCCTGTGGTCGTACGACCACCTTGCAACTGCAGTCGCTCGACCTCAGCGATTGCCACGGTATCGAGGACTCTGGTCTGGTGCTGAGTTTGTCGCGCATGCCGCATCTCGGATGTCTTTATCTACGTAGATGCACCCGCATCACCGATGCCAGTCTGGTAGCCATCGCTTCTTACTGCGGCAGTTTGCGCCAGCTGTCAGTGTCGGACTGCGTGAAGGTGACAGATTTTGGAGTGCGCGAACTGGCGGCACGTCTGGGCCCGTCGCTCCGTTACTTTTCTGTGGGCAAATGCGACCGCGTGTCCGATGCTGGTTTGCTAGTCGTTGCCCGTCACTGCTATAAGCTGCGTTATTTGAATGCTCGCGGTTGCGAGGCGCTCAGTGACAGTGCGACCATCGCCTTGGCACGCGGTTGTCCGCGTATGCGTGCCCTAGACATCGGTAAATGCGACATCGGCGACGCGACTCTCGAAGCACTCTCCACCGGATGTCCCAATCTGAAGAAACTGTCCCTGTGCGGGTGTGAGAGAGTCACAGATGCTGGTCTCGAGGCGCTGGCTTATTATGTGCGTGGTCTGCGACAGCTCAACATTGGCGAGTGCCCCATGGTTACGTGGATCGGCTACCGAGCGGTCAAACGTTATTGTCGACGTTGCATCATTGAGCATACTAACCCTGGGTTCTCCAGTTGATCTAACCCAGCTTTTATAGTGTCGCCTTATATCGAAGTAGTGGTGTAAAGAGGAATTCTCGAGAGAATGTTCTGAAAAAGAGAATATTCTTGGAGAATTATATGGATAAAAGAGCAGAGATATATTCTGAGAGAATATCAAAAATAAGAATATATATTGAGAATATTTTGTAAGAATATTTCTTACAAAAATATCAAAATATCTGAGAATATACTAAGAATAGCATCTAAAAATGAGGACATTCTCAGAATATTCAATCATCTCGCATCACCAGTTCCAAGTGCCAGAGTGTAATATAAGAGAAGTTTATAGAAAATTGTAATCCAATTTTTTAAATTCAAGTTTATGCGACAATAAATGTTATATCTTTTGATACTATATTATAATAAGAAAAGAATGTAGGAATTGTCAATTTGAGACTTTAATAATTTGTATCGTCTACAATTTATTTATTAACATATACAAATATCATTTTATAGACATTGCTCGCAAGTATATTAATTTGTAAAAAGATTATTTGTGTTTCACGAGAACATTGGTTGTAAAAATATATACATATATTTTGCTTCAAAAGAGTCATGTCTGCTATTTATTGTGTTTGTAATTTAATGCATTGCATAAAGATAATAAAATCATTGGTGTTCTTTATATAATTAAATTTTCTCTAATTTATTGTAATTACAGGATAAGATATTGACTATACTCATTTTTTTTAACATCATTAAAATATGTAAATTAATTGCATGCTTTTTACGCAATATGTATAGAAATGTATGTAAAGAAAATGTATGCACACAGACAAGGAAAATATAAATCTCATTAAACCCAATTACTTTAGGAATACAAAACTTTTTATGTTTTAAATTTTAGGTTTATATTGTTACAAAGTTTTTTCCTGTTAGTTTAATTCATGTTAATGTAATGTTTATGTAATGTTTTTTAATAATTTGTAAAAAGTTTTATTATATTGATTTTATAAATATATAAACTTATAAATTTATGGAAGATTTATAAAAATGGCATATAGTTTCATTTTTTCGAATCTATATCACAAGAGAATAAAGTTTTAATAACATCACGATTATAAGACAAAATTCTAATTTTAATACAAACAAAACAATTAATATGACGTTTGAATAAACGCAATGAATATATATATATATGTATAGCTGTGTATATCAAAACATAGCCATAGACTATGTTATTTAATAAGATGTTTAAATCACGGATTGCAAAGTGATCTCCATTTAAATCAATATTCAGCCAATCACATTCATGCACTTTGGTTTTGCGGCAAAATTCACATCTGCCTTAAAGGTCTTCCGAATGACTCGTTTGCGCATGCGCGATGCTATTTCCAGTTACATTCAAATAATCCATGATCGACGAGTTTAACGGATGATTATCGAGAATAAACTACATTAAGAAACTGTTCCAAGATTTATCTCTTCTAATCGATTCGCAAAACTTAAGTAAGTAATCCGTACATAGTTTTCTCAAAGATAACATATCGATATTATTGTGATTGTGATTTCTTTCTATATTTGATCGAAATTATCAAGAACAAATTATGTTGAGAAATAACCGTTTCAAGATTTATCTTTTCTAGTCGCCTTTTCAAAAATCAAATATGTAATTTGTGTATATTTCTCCGAAAGACAGCATATTGATGTTATTTTCGTGTTTTCCAGTTTCCAGCGGACAAGAGATGAGATTTGCTCTGATCGCAAAAATGCGAGCGAAAATTCAGCGTGCGGAATTGCGCGTCCGAAGTTTGTACATACATACATCCGCATTGTTTCGACGAACGCCTGCGCGAATTTCCTTTGGAAATCCGCGGCCTCTGGTAGGGGTAGCGCGGGATTCAGGGGTAAAATTGCACGGTGGTTGAAAACCGCCGCTGTGTATACCAGTCGTACGTAGGCGATCACGCGGTTAACCAGGCCTTCAATTCCATGTCGCTGTCTCTCGTCCTGTTTCTTAAATACGGTCTTCTTCTGATCATCGGCTTCGAGAATGGTGAGTTTTCGATCATTCGCACAAGACCATTCTGCATTTCAATTTATTAGCATGTAACTATAGAATAGCAGCAAATTCGTATTTATACAGCAAAGTTTTTGTTTTTATTGTTCCTCTTTCTTTTATGGCGATTGTTTCAATATCGATACATTGATATTTTTAAATTATAAAGATTAAAATTGAAAAAAATAAAGAGTTCTCACAAATTATAGATTTAAGAAGAATTGATAGATAATAAATTCTCATTATTTAATTAATTTCTTACAGATTGAGTTTATTTTTACGTAAAAAAAATTTAGTTAAATAGAGAAACTTTTATTAAGAAAATATATATTTAAAAACGATTAAAAAAATTTTGTCATTAAAATATATATTGATTTTAAACATTTGAAGAATAAAAATTTAATTATAGAACTTGTGGAATTATGTAACTTTTATATGTTATATGATTAAAATAATTATATATTGAGGAAATTATTAAGCATTTATATATGAGAAATAAATTTGAAAAATTTAGTTTTAAAACTATTTTTTAATAAATTTGTGTTAACATTGTTTTGTGTGTTCAAAATTAAGTTTACTAGACAGTAGAAAATTTTATTAATTTGTAGTAAAAAAATACAACAAAGAAAGATTATCATGTTTCAAAAATTGGGTTATTGATAAATGACTGTCATCTTTGAGATATTTTCTATAATTTAATTACTTGCTCTCTTCCTATAATGTTCAATAATCTCGGAAGCTGAGAAAGATGTAGGTCGCCAATAAAGTTTCAAGGTTCTCGCGGTACCAAAGTACAGCACGTTAGGAACTGTTTAGATATTGTCGTGCGTCAAAGCTCGTCATAGCTTTTGTCTGTCACAACTACACAACCACTGATATCAAAGACGTCTGAGATGTAAATTAGTGACGTGATCAAATTCCAAAGGCCGAAACGTCATTAAATTGCGAACCATTTTTAGAAAAATGTCCTTGATAAATCAATGTCCTTGATAAACAGATCGCGATTTTCACGGTTTCTCTCGAGCTTGAAATTTTCAAAGATTTGTTATGATAATGTTACGATTTACATAATTTATCATTGCGTGAATTAAATTACCACAAAATATTTCTAAAAATATCTTAAGAAAAAATAACCAAGTCAATTTTTAATTGATTATAAATGAATACTTGTCATAAATTTTTGATTGTACAAAATTTAAATTTATCACACTTCGATGAATAATTCTATTTACAGTAATGTGAGAATCAAGCGCGAAAGTGCAGTCACATATCAATTATTCAAATAGAATTTTATGAGTTTATTTTTATTGACATAATTTGGCGACATAAAAGAAAGGTTCACAGAACTTTTAATTGCAGCTTTCAATTGTACAATAATATTGCTATCCGATTGAAATCGTTCTATTTCTCTCTTTTGTAAATTTTTTAATTTTTTTAAAAATCTTTTTTAATCGCTTCCAATCTAGATTGCAATATCGATCACCTACATTGTTTCAAAATTATAAAAAAAAAAATATTTTCTTAATTATGTTTTTAGTCAACTTAATGATATTTAATACATTAATTAAATATTTAGTAATATTTATAAGATGATTTAATTTATTTTATAATGAAAATAGTTTTGATTAAGAGATGAAGGAGTTAAATTACCGTGAAAATTGACGAGTGATAACGCGAGAAAAGGGATACTCGCAATAAACTTTACTTACCCTACAATGCGGCTCTCGGTCTTAACCGGACCTAGTTATTCGATGTTTGCGTCGCAGCTAGCAGTGTAAACGTTTGCGAATCAGTCGCGTCAAGGGGCCATTCGATGCCTCCTCTATGCCACCAAATTCCGTGATCGGAACATCGACGAAATTTGCATATTCGCTGTCGTGAAATCGGGCCCGTGCATGCATTTAGTAAATCGGTTTACGTGCTAAAGTTTTGGGAGGGCCTTGACCGAGTACTGGCGATTATTTCTGCGTCATTTACGAATTCTATCTATTAACAGAATGTTACATGTTACATCTTGTGTGCAAAAAGATTAATGTTTCTATGATACACTGACTTTCTAATGAATCAAAGAGAAAAAAATAAAATTGATGTCATTCGGCTTTTCATTATTGTAGTAATGATATTTTATAATGTATTTTTGTTATATTGACATTAATTATTTGTATTTTAAATGAAAAAATTAAATATAAAGTTTTATAGAAAAATTAATATTTTCGATATATCTGTTTTTAAGAATTATTTAGATATATTTGATTTTGTCAATTAATGTTTTTGTGACCTACCATTTAACTTTTACTCTTGCTCGAAATGCATGGATAATCAAATATCGTTATATCTCAGAGAATAATCTCCGAGATAGGGACGGATGTCTTCGCGCGGTGAATCATTTTGCCCGAAGAAATTCGACATCAGTCAGCTGAGAGATCCCGCGAGATATTCCGCAAGCTCATACAGTATATCGACATTCGACATGCGATCTCATTACAAATCCGTGAGATTTTTCGATTTACTTCTCGGCGGCGGTGACAGGCGTTGGCCCATTTCCCGATCTATGAGAATTTTTCTGTGATCTTCTCTATCGAGGAGCTACAAAAAAACATTCAAATTGTGTATAAAAATAATAAAACTGCGGTTAAAATGTAAAGTTTAAACTTCCTATTTATATTTTTTATATTTCTATTTTTATATTAATGTTTTTATTAATCAAAATAGTTTTCAAAGTAGCAAAAGTTTTAGTTGTGATTTAAACATTAATCATCTTTATGTTTACTAAAAATTAAATTATTTAAATCTTATTTGACGCAATAAAATAAAAAAATTACTTTAACAGAAAAGTGAAAAGTATATTAGCTTTGATTTTATAAATATGTATACGATTATATATATAATATATTTTTATACGTAAAAAGTTCGTGAAAAATTCGAAAATTTTGTCGCCTATTTTACTGTAATCAGAATAATATAATGTAGTTTTATGTTAGAGATGCTATTTTTCAAAATATTTAAGTGTGTTTGTGGCATCAAAAAGAAATTATTTTATATAATTTCAAATAACTCCATAGCTATGCAATTGAGAATATTCTGCTTTATTGCTTTTAGAATTTAGAGAGAAAGAAAATGAGATCACGTTGTATTAAATGTTGCAAATAATAAATGGTATATATATATGTATGTAACAAAAAATACTTTGTTATATATTTTAATAATTGATTTAAATTATTACTTAATAATCGTTAAACAAGAATTAATAAAATCCTTAAATAATTGAAAATTATGGATGCCTTAATATCTTCGTTGGGAAAAAATCGAATCTTATATAGATCTTAAATAGATAAAACAATTTGTTATTAAAAAAAAATCAATATAAAAATAAAAGTAATTATAAACACCGAGGACATCTTATATATCAATAAAACTGTCGACAATTTCGCTTTGGCAACGGTTACTTTGAAGAATGCTCATCGTTGTTTGAAGGTCCAGCTCTCTCTTACAATTCGATAGAGCCATAAGAACTCACTCTTCTAATTACGACCGGTATTTTCGCGACGAGTATCACTTATCTTCCTCGCAGAATCTTTCTCTGCACCTACGTTGTCGAGAGAAGATGGGACCGAGCTGAGATTAGCTCCGTCCTCTGACAGGTTTCACCACGCTTCACAGCACAATAGTCGTTTCAATGAGGGTAGACTAACGCTACTGATCATGTAGCCGATCGCTATAATGGACGAACATCCACGTAACGAAACGGATCAGAAAGCGGTGATCAGAGAGAGAAGAGTTCGGCGAAAGGAATCTCTCAGATCGTTTTTGCAAGACCGATTCTCAGGATCTTGCTCGTTCGATCTTGCGCCATCCTCTATTCTGAATGATGCTCATCATGTTTTATTTTTTCATCAGATATCACTTGTATTAGGACGGTGATAAGATTCTTCACATAGAGGCTTTATTTTTCGTATGGCATTATATTTATATTAAATTTTTATTGTTTGCGAGTTTCTATCGATTTAAAGTTATTAATAATTATATTAATATATAATTAAGTTCTCATACTTTATATCGTAATTATTTACAATAATTCATGCTTTTTTAAATTAGCCTAAAATTGAATTTATTTATAAACTTTATTTATACTATCAAGACTATATATTATTTATTTATATTATATTAGAAAAAATTTTCTCTTTTTAACCTATTAATAGCGTTCACTTACGAAGACAACGAATATTAAAACTTTGAAAGCAAGAGATATTAAAACTTACCTAGCCCTAGCCGAATAGACTGAAGGGCATATTGTTTCAATATTCATGAGTAATATATCTTGACTAGAATAATCAATGTTAAATTGAACATAAAAGAACTATATTATAGCTAAACACATAAAATTTTTTGATTTTTTAGTTCGAGACAATTTTTTCACCATTAAAATACAAAAAATATGTTATTATTCCACTATTATCTAAAAATATATATAAATCTTTAATACGTATACTGAGAGAAAAATCTGTTTATCAATTTTATTAATAAATAATACTATTACAATAATATGGGATACTAAATTATCGTGTTAATTATATTATATATATTTTTTTGGTCAAATCACGATCAATTTGTTCAAATTTTTTCTCAGTGTGAAGAAAATTGGAAATAAAATTGTATAAATATATGTTTCTAAATAAAATAGTTCAAAATTGATCACATTCGCATTTGTTTAGGTGTTTGTGATGAGCACGAATACAGATTGACGAAGCATCTGCTGGATGGATATGACGCCGGTGTACGACCAGCTAAAAATTCGTCCCAGCCCTTGGTCGTGGTCTTTGGGCTATCCCTTCATCACATTATCGATGTTGTGAGTATTCAAGTGCAAACAATTTTAAAGACCGATATACGGCACAAGAGAATGCGACTGCAGGTCCTCCTGCAAGGGCCGTTTTTTTAACATTCTCTTAAAGTATATCTTTGTTTAAAACAATGTTTAATGTATATTTTACATTAAGCATAATTCCATTTCTGAAAGAATCATTGTTTTCAAAAAATTTTGACGCTTATTTAAATGTTGCGAGCAAATTTTTTACTAAGTTGAAATTATAGTAATAATATTGTAGTACAATACGAAATTGACATAATTTATATTTTTACGTTAATTAAGAGTTTTTCCAATTCAAAAAAGATATTTAATATAATTTTATATATAACAAGAATGTCTTAAATAATTGTATATAATAATAGCGATTAATATGATATTAATTTGAGTAGAGCAAAGAGAAAATATTTTTTATTCAAAAAAGTAGTAAAATATCAACGACTATCATAAAATAAGAATATCAGTGGAAATACCGACACTCTCTTCGAAAACCTTAGAATTCAGTGGCGATAGGAAACGTGTTAAAAAAACAGAATGTGTTGGTTGATCGCGAAATTCCTCTCTAAAAACGAGACTGAGCGGAATCTCGTCCGATTTCTTCAAAAATGTTTTTATATATTTTTTCGTTTTTGCTTTTATATTTTTATGCACATTCACGGAATTTTGCGGAGACACTGTTGTTACTTTTTATTAGCACGATAAAAATAAGCATATGAAAAAATATACCCATGTATACAAACGTGATAGTAGTGACGTGTTAATCGGAAAGAGAGTATCTCTTGAATGGGATTTAAAAAAATAAAAAATAACGTAGATACCGAGGTAGAAAACATGACAACATGATTATTCCGTTTTTAACGATATATGCGCGTTCGTGTCTATAGATTTTTACCAGTCCGTTTGCATTCAAACAGAATTTTCAGTAAACGGATTTCATCCTTAATAAAATAAATTTCTGCTCGTGATCGCAAAAAATGTCAAACTAAAATAAAAATAATATTTGTATTTATCGTCGCTGTTTATAAGGAATATAGAACTATAGAACTATATTATTTATGAACGCATAAAAATTGATATAATAAAATCATCGTCTATATTTTTTAATATATATATATCCGCACGGTATCCCTCCCGCGGCTATTAATTTATTAAATATATTTGTGTTAGATACAATTATATTAATGCATATAGAAAATTAAATTTGCGATAAAAGATATCAAATCGTACATAATCCGATATTTGAAACAATTTTGGTTCGAATTATTTATACATATGTATATATATAATTTTTTTTATATCTATTATTTATATCTTTTTATATCTTTTTATATCCGCTACTCCATGTATATGATCTCGAGAGAATTTTTTACTATCTCGCAGTATTTCTATTTTCGATACACATTTTTTTCAATTTTACTTTGTGTTGTACATTGTGTTTTGAGGTAAAGATTTACCTCAAAACACAATGTACAACACAAGATAAAATTGAAAAAAATGCGTATCAAAAATAGAAATACTGCGACCGCGACGGGGTCATGTGTGATCACGGTAATCGGAGAGAGGCGAGATAAATTGGCGTGAGAATAGGTAAGATACGCGGTGGGAAAGTTTCCGAACATTTGTTTCGCGTATGGTGGTATAACGAGAACAACCTTTCGCGCAGCATAACCAACCGGTCACCCCGGGGAGACTTGGGACCATCTAACGAGAGGTCGTTATATCAATCGCGCAATACAGTCAATCATTCGACTCGGTTTTATCCCTTTCCGTTTCGTTTCGTTTAATAACATCAATGATAATATAACATCACGCGATCTTCTTTCCCCCTACTTTCCCTTCTCTTTCGGTTCACACATCAAGTCAATTTTCAACTCTATCGAAAATTTTCTGGGATATTATTTATGGGTTATTGAGCGTTATTCTCAATCTGTGATTAAGAGAGCGTAATTAATTCAAGATCAGTATTGATAGATTCCTCTATGATGATTTTCTGTTTAAGAAGTCTCTGTTTAGCTAATAATTAATATTTATAATTTTGCATTATTTCTGTCACATTTTTTCTCTCTTTATTTTGGAGTATGATATAATCTGATTCACCCTTTTTAATCACAATCATTTAATATAAAAGAAAGAATGAGATAAATAAATAATAATATTAAAAGCTTATTTGTAAAATGTTTCTTTTCTATTATTTTAATTAAATATAAAGTTCTTATTTTTATTAATTATACTATTATACATATGTTTATAAAATAAGAGAGAGAGAGAAAGAAAGAGAGAATTACAAAAAATCCATAAAAGCAATAATTATAAATTATTTAGATATTATATAATAATTTAATTAAACCTTAAGTCACAACTAATAATTTGATTTTACATTTGTGTGCATTATTCAGAGGTTATAAATTCTTCTATTGACGGATGAAACTTTAGATTCGTGAAATCATGATTATTCGCCAAATAATAATCGACTACAAATACCGCTTAAATTCTCGACATACCTAGCTTCTACAATTGAGAAATATTATACATAGTCCCACAACAATAGTATCATCGTTATATACTACGAATCACACATTCCGTTGATTTTCTGCTGTTGGGTTTAAGATGATATGCACATGAAGATGAATATCGAGTATTAGAAAGAGTAATGTAGTCTTTCCTTTCGCGAAAAAAATTATTATTTCATATACTATTAATTTATGTATAGTTTCATTTATCAAGTCATAATTATTTAGAAATAAATAGACGATTTAAAAATATTATTTATATTTTAATTTGTTACTATTCGTTATCCATTTAATTGAATTTAAAAAATCCTGAAATATCAGACGTGAGTAATCTTTTGAAAGTTTGAAAACTGGGTAAAGCGAATCAATGAGCGAACATGGAAAAAGAACGCGGAACTTGAATGAAACTTTGTGAATATTTATATTCCGCACATATAATAACGCGAAATCTAATTGGACTCTTGCATCGATCGGATGTAGCATCGTATGCGTCGATCTCTGTCGAGATAACGTGTTCACCGTGGAATTCATCGTTTTCCGGATTTCGCACGATTACAAGAGTCAATTAAATGCTGCGAAATTATTCCGTATACTTTAATTAAGTTTTTTAAGTTAGCATCTATGCCAAAAAAAGTAATGTTCATGATTTTTTTTTTTAGAACAAAATGATACGTTGGATTAATGTTTTTATCAAGCAAAAATTAAAGCATGTCTTTTTAAGTTTCACTGATAAATATATAAAAGTATATGCTATTATTGCGAAGATAAACAATTACTTTCACAAAAGTACTAAATTAAGTAAGCTAAATACTCACTTATTATGTCGCTTACCCGTTGCCTCTTTAAGCATCTTTTTGGTTTTCTCTTGTTCGTGCTTTACTCCTTCGTAGCATTCACTTGCGAAAACATGATTTAATTATCCCGTGACATTTTGCATGGCATTTCCGAAAAAATAATTGGTAAAACTGCGTAAAAGGTAACACATCTCCGATTTTATTGCCACTTAAATATGTTGTAGGGGAGATTCTTCTAAGTAATTCCCCGCAAGAAATTTGTGGGGGACGGCATTAGTTTAGAAGATATAACAGATTAAAGAGATATAACAAATTAAAGTTTTATAGTTTTAATGCTTTTTCTATTATAAAATAAGGAAAAATGAAGTTTGGTTACGTTGTATTTGTGTAGAGCAGACGTGGAAAAAGTGTTTGTTTACATTTACGGGATAGGTATACGTTCATGGATACTTTGTTAATAATGTGTTTCACCCATTTCTCGCAGTTTATTAAAAGCTTTCAACATGCGACTATACGAATTTTTGAGTTATTGACAAAATATCCATGACCCTGTGTCTATTTCGTAAATGTAAACAAACACTTTTTTATCTGCTCTACAGCAAATACAAGGTACACAAACTTCACTTTTCCTAATATTATTTTATAATACCTGAAAAAAAGTATTAAAACTATGAAACTTTAATTTGTTATATCTCTTAAACCAATGCCGTCCCCCACTTATTTCTTGCGGGAAATTACTCAGAAAAACCTCCCCTATAACATATTTAAGTGACGATTAAATCGGTGGTGCGTTACCTTTTATGCAGTTTTATCAAATAATTATTACACGTGATGCGCATTTTATTGTGTGTATTTCGAAAAGAAAACGCGAGAGAAAAACGCAGAAACTACGAGACATATTCAAATCTAGGTATTGAAAAGATTATTGTTACCATAAATACTGGAATAAAACAATAATTTATAATTGTCAATTCGTCCTGTCATGCTTCGATTTATATTTTAAATGAAAAAAGAAACATAAAAATACCTCTTCGATAAATAACTGTTGTTTCGATACAATTTCGATAAGTTGTTAATCACAAATTGATAATAATCGCATTTCTTAAAAAAGGATGATATGATAAAGCGCGGAGCGACTCATACCGCTATCTTCTCACTCGAGTCTTGTCACACGAATGTCGCGAATATTTATGTACACCATAAGAGTTTAAACACAGCGTGATTCGCAGTGAGTTGCTATGAAATATTAAGCATTCTTTATATTTCTTTCTTATTCTCAAATTGATTATTAATTATTAATGTGTATCATGACTTTTCGTTATGTATTATTCGATTTTGTGATTCGTATAATATTTGTATAATATTCGTATAATATTACGCACTTTCAATTTGAAAATGATTGACAAATTATGTGCATAGCAACGAAAAACTTAAAGCACGATGTAAGATATACATATCTGAATCCAAGTACATTGAAGAAATAATTATCATCCTCAAAGTTTCCATCGTGTAAAAAACGATTGCATATAAAGAACAGCGGCCTATACGCTGCAAAAACATGTAATTTGCCACGAAATATTTAACACACAATACAAAATAAATTTAATAATATTTTCCTTAAGTTCCTCAAATTGATTATTCGTAAATAATTGATGTATTATTGATGTATTGATTTTTCTTTACTTGAATTACTTGATCTTACGATTCGTGTATTATCATGCGCTGTCTCCCAATTAATTGTTAAATTAAATTTAACTTAATGATAAATTAAGAGTACGATGCTAGATATATTTAAGTCCACACACACAAGCATAATATAAAGATCATTTTTTTACGATTGTTTACAAGTCGCAATTTGTATTATGATTTTATTACAGGATGAAAAGAACCAGATACTCACGACCAATTGTTGGGTTACGCAAGTTTGGACAGACCATCATTTGAAATGGAATGCCTCGGAATTTGCTGGAATTCGAGTAATCCGTGTTCCCTATAATCGTGTTTGGCGACCTGACACTATTTTATACAACAAGTAAGCAGTTGTCTTGTATAAATAGAGTGAATTTAAGGAGCTTCGAAAATAATAATATTCCAAAATATATCTTGATAAGAGCAAGTTTATATATATTCATATATATTGTGGCTCTAAAAGATTTGAAAAATTTTACAAATTGGAGCCAATGACTTATGGTCTCTTGAGAAATCTCTATGTCATAATTCTACTATCCTTTTGAAACTTTTTCCGATTTCTTACAGAATACTTTGCATAGCATACTTTACATGACGAGGGTAAAAATAAGGGTTAAAGCTGATTCTGAATTGAAAAGATAATTCAAAAGAAAAGTTTATAGATAATTTTAAAAAGAGATATTTTTTCAGTAGTTGAATGAATATAAAAACCAAGAAAAAAGATGAAGAATAAAGAAATAAAAAAATTAATTTAATATACAATTTTTACAAAACCTTAAAAGAATAAAAATATAATTTTTTAAACATCATTAAAAGAAAATTCAGAAACATAGAATTTGAAGATCAAAATAAGAAAAGGAATTTATATTTTATTGCATTTTCAATTTCCTGGTTACAGTGCGGATCCGCAATATAGTTCAGCAGTCATCAATACAAACGTAATCGTCAGCCACACAGGCGAAGTGGTCTGGTTAAGCCATGGTATCTTTCGTAGCAGTTGCGACATAAACGTAGAATTTTTTCCCTTTGACGAACAACGATGCGCTCTGAAATGGGCCTCTTGGACATACGACGGATATCAAGTAAGTTTTATACACATTCCATATTCTAAATATTACGTTGCACATCTGGATTTTTATTCGCGCAAATGCAAAATGTCAAAATTTCACATTTACATAACTGAATATTTAATTTTGATAGAATAAATCACTGCACTGACTAACGAATTTCTTTTTTAAAAAGTTTTTAATATTCCGTTTGGACGAATTATCCAATGATGTAAATGTAAAATTTACAAAATTTTACGTTTTGCATTAACGCATAAATGCATTTTTATTATTGATATTAAATTTTCTAGAGATATTTTGGAGATACATCTCAAATAAATAAGCATTTTGTCGTGTTAGATGACAATTCCGGTTATATTTTTCAATTAGTCACTTCTTTCATCGATTCTTATAATTGTAGAACTTTTAAAGTATTTAAAACTGCGACGTAAAATTTTTCTTACGGGTGATTATCGGTTAGCGCGACTGTTCATCTTGTAGATTTCTTTTTAAATCAAATTAAATTCAGCATTCGACCAGCCGTAATTCTTCGCGGTCTTATATTCACCTTCATTTAAGAAGCCACAGTATATTTTATGATAGAAATTAAAGATCGTATTAGTTATTCAAAGATTGAAGAGAGTACCGATGTACGAAAATGTAGTTCATGTAAAATAAGAAATCTATATAATATAGGACGATGAAAAAATTAGATTAGATATAAATACTTGGATTAAATTTTATATATAGATATGTCTTGAAATTTTATTAAAATGTTGTTATAAAGATATATCGCGGATAATCCTATATGTCTCTGTCTGTTTTAACAACAAATATTTTTTGGTATTACATAAAGATATGCAGAAAAAGAATTGTGTAATGCAGCGTATAACGGCAATGCGTGCGATGCGTAAATAAAAAAAAAAAAAAAAAGTATTGTTCGCGAATCGAAGCTTCGGCTTTGAAAGTTCGGGGACGCTTAACACAGCTGTGGAATCGAAAACGCGGGTCTGCCAAGTCGTGAAAATGGTTCGGGCAGATCGAAGAGCTTAATCCCAGCATCGCGAGAAGAATTCAATACGAGAGCCGTTCCGTTCGCTTCCGCGCCGAACTTTCTGCCTATCTTTCACAGAGTTTTCCCATTTTCTATCTCTCCGCGTTGAATACACTTTGGATAACGTCGGTACTGTTTTTTTTTGTCGCATAAAAGTCGAGAACATCAACGCGGTTTAATATACTTGTCCAGGGGAATCTTTTGCAAATTAATCATCTCTTGTAATAAAATTTTTTAAATATCGATAATTAATTTTCTAAATAAAAATTATTATAGCGTGATTTTTCTTTTTAATAATAAATTCAAACAAGTTCTTCTTCTAAATAATAATTTTTACTATGAGAGAAATTATACAATAAAAAGAAAATTATAAAAATGGAAAAAGAAAAATAAACAAAGATAATTGTATTAAAACTCAATCAAGAGAGAATGATTGTATGTCAGATATGGTATTTATATAACAAATTTATATTCTTTTTAAATTTAAAATTTAATTTATCCTTCAGTCTTTTTCATATACTGATACAATGTTATCGCAAAATAAAATAATGTATGTTCTATATCTTGATTTATACCATTATTAATAAAATAAACAGCTCTCAATAATGGAGCTGTTACACGATACACAAAAAGATTTCGATTGCAGTAGAAAGATATTCGGCCTGTCAATTGCCAGTTTAACTTTTAGTCGATAAACCGGCTTTCGCGTTTAACAAACAGCGCACCGCTCGATAAACCGCGCTCGGTTGACTTTTTATTACTTGAAAATTCGCCGAGCTTTTATGGACAAAATGACGGCGGATCTGTCCCATCGATCGTCGCGATCGAGCGTAACTTATACCGGGAAAATTTTGCGGGCATCAGCTTGAGCTGGAGAGACAGAGCGAGGAGGGGGACGTGAGTAATTATCAAGCGAACGGCGAGTTCCATCTTCTGGATTTCACCGCCCGCAGAAACATCGAGTACTACTCCTGCTGCCAAGAACCGTATCCCGACATCACTTACGAGATTCGCTTACGACGACGTCCGATGTTCTACGTCTTCAACCTGATTCTGCCCTGCATACTAATCAACGGTGTCGGTAAGTGGAGTAAATGTGTATACGTGACTAAAACGACACGAAATGTGTTCAGCAAAATATAGTAGATTTTATTTACCGTTCATATAGTGAAATAAAAATCATTATTTCAATATCTATTTGCATTACAAATTTTCTCGCTGCGATTTTATGTCATAAAATAGAAAGAAATTCATATCCAAATTGTGTTATTATAAAGATTATCATATTCAACGGAAAGTAAATAAATTAATCAATATATTATTAAAAAAATATATATTAAAGAAATATTTTTTAAAAAGAAAATATATAAAAAATTCCGATCTAATTTTTTTAATAAATCAGTGACATGGTAACGCGACGCAAATCTCGAGTATCGCTCGGGTCGTTCATTAAAAAGAGAAATAACATCGTTAGTTAGGAAGTAAATTTCGCAAATAAGCCTTAAAACCTCGAAGCAGCTCGCATGAGAAGTCATATACGAGATTAGATGAAGATTTTCCCTTGCGATCTTTCCGCACTCTCCGCACGGCTTGCTTGCATAAGAAAATTAAGATTGCCTCTACGAGAACGCGTAAGACGCAGATCAAATAAATTTGCATAATAGTTTTCGTAATCTTAGGAAGAATGGCGTTTTTATTTAAACTATGCGAGCGCTCAAATTATATGTTGAGATCTATCAGATGATAAGAAAGCAAAGCGTGTACGATCGTTGTTTTTATATGGATATTTGAAAGCTCCGAAATTTTGATAAAATTAGAAGTTCTTATATAAGACTATTGCAAATAATATTATGGAAAAAGTCCCCTTGGTAAATTTGAAGAATTTATTTTTTGCGAAGATATTGAGAGAGCTAACTACCCCGTCGCACAAATGTTGTTATTAAATATTTTTGAAGATAATATAAAGAAAGTATAAATATTGTAATTTGTTTTCTTAGGAAAATTACATGCATATTATATGTATATATATATAATTTATATAAATATTACAAATAGATTCCTCGTAGAAGCAACGCGTAAAACTAACGATCGACGAAATATTAGTTTTGTCCGTTAACAATAGCTCGAAAAATAATATCGGCTATTGGATTTAATCGCATTAGGATTTGTACGAGAAAAAACGAATAAGCTGCCGCTTTTAAGGAAACGACGGCATGAACCGAAGCATTTCATTACATTGCTTCTGCCGTTTACCGATAATGAAAGAAATTTGCCAAGGATTCGTCGGATATCAGAATTAAGTTATCAGCAATTATCGATCAACTGAAGAAACAGTTCTTTGTAAAATAAACAAAATTATATACTATAAAAATTAAAAATACATAAATAAAAAGACAAGATATACAAAAATAAAAATGTAAATATTAAAACAACAGAACAACAGAATATAAGACCGAGTAGAGCAATCAAGACTGTCGGGTAAATGGGACAATACAATGGTTTTCCGATGATAAAATTGATAGTTATTGTCCAGGATAGTTTAAAATGACAATTGTGAATTTCATTATCGGAAAATCGTTGCGTGGTTCCGCGTGTGAATTTCTCTACATGACAATAACGGAAAGAAGAAGATATAATTTAAATTTATTTCCTTTGTTAATATTTTTCGCAAAATTAAAATTTAAATAGAAATTGCGAGAAACTTTATCGGCATCATTAAAAAAAAAAATGGAATTGTGTACAATTGATAAAGAATTAGTATAAATTAATAAAAAATTTAGATATAGTAGATATGCGCACACATGAACGAAGAAGGAATAGAAAACTTGAGAAAATTTAAATTTACCGAAGTCTTGAAAGAAAGGCGATAAGAGAATGTCTTCGTTCTTCTTTTTTTTATCTTTTTTTTGCTGCCCTAATGTCATTCCACTGTTGATTACTACATTCAAGTTTGTTACAAGACTTCGAATCGAAATCTTGCGGAATACCTCGGATTCAATATTCCGCGACAAGAGTAAAACTTTCGCGAACGTTTCTTTCGCTTGTTTTCCAGCCCTGCTGGTTTTCTACGTGCCCTCCGAGTCGGGAGAGAAAGTCACCCTCGGCATCTCGGCCCTCCTCTCCATGACAGTTTTCTTGATGACCATTCGCGAAACTTTGCCGCCTACGGAGAAGACGCCGTTAATAAGTGAGTATTTGGTCAGCTGTTTTCGATCGTAATTTTTAATTCGAATAAAAGCAAGATATATATTTTTATACTTAAAAAATATTTTCAGAGTACTCTCTCTCTCTTTTCTCTGTCTTTTTTACGATCTATCGCAATCTCATTTTATATACATATATTATTCTGTTTAGTTAAACTATTTTAAATTTGTATCTCTTTTGAGAAATATACAGGTATTTTTAACGTTAAAATATAAGTGTCGCCTAATTCTTTCGTTGATTTTATGTAACACAGAATATGATTGCGATTTACGTTTGAGCGCCATAGCTGCTCGTTACCCGTTAATCATTAAAAAACTCGTGGGGAAAATGCATCTGGGATTTTCTGGAGTCGCGGTTAACCGTGTACAAGAGCGAGCACTGTCTTATTTCTGTTACTGTAGCCTTCAAAGGAAAAAGAAATGTGTTTAAAATATAACGAGAAAACTGAATGAAAGCAGTTCAATATTCTATTAATTAAATGGAGCAAAATTTTTTTTTAATGGTTAGGTATCATCGTTTGAATTTATTAGAAGAAAATAATAGACAATTTCTTTGAGAAATTATAAAAAAATGTATGATATTCACATCGAGAGAACATTTTTGTATCAAATGATAAAAACAATATTGTCGTTCTCCATTTCGCTCGATTTATACACCTTTTATACATCTGTATATTCTTACGTTATTATTATATATTTATATGTATAAATATCTTTACATATAAATAGTAGTATAATATTATTTTACAATATACACACAATATTTTATATTCTGTGTCTTGTGAAATGGAAATATTATTTTAAAAATTAATATTGCATACTTTGTATACAATTTTACTCTTAAATTATTATTATCTGCGCGTTTTTTAGTCTTATATTTAAAAAAAGTAAATTAAATTTTATCTTATTCATATATGTTTTTTCCTTTCGATATGTTTTCAGGTCTTTATTACGGTGTCAGCATTTGCCTGGTGTCGTTTGCATCCGGTCTGGCGGTTGTAACATTGAATTTGCATCACCGTGGTGTGCGGGGTATACGAGTACCGAGTATCGTGAGATCGTTGGTCTTAGACAAATTAGCCAGAATAGTATTTCTGAATTTCGAAGAGGAGAATAGATCGGTAAAACGGATAACGTAATGCACATGGATATTGTTCTTTGTAACACGTGGGGCATTTTATAAATCGCCATCCGGTATTTCTTAATTATTTGAATATAATAAAATTGAGTCAATATTCCACTGCGCGCTTCTCGGCGATCGGTTAAATGATAATTCTGAGAATCGTGCAGCTTCCGACAAATAATAGCTTAAGCAGAACAAAGCTCAGAATAAAAAAAAAAAAAAGAGCAGGGATTATTTCAACATACATAAATTACAAAAAAAAAGTAAGAATGATATTTTTAATGTAATGTTACGTAAAGAAAGGTAAATTTGAGCAAAAGAAAACTAAAAGAACTATGAGGTAGTATAAAAAAATCTATAAAAAACCAAAGAGAATACGTGAAAAAAACGTGTTATGCTTCGCACAGATAAAGTTTCATGTTGATATAGTTTCTATAAACGCGTCCCCGCTATTTCTATGTTCTATAGAAAAGTTACGGCGCGATCATCAATCTGAGATCACAGAGATTTGTTATATCAGCAAGAACAATTGCCCGCTGCACTGTAAATCCGAATTGCCGGAACAGCACATATCTCCCAAGTATGTATCGAGGAGGGATGATAGTAATAGCAGCAGTCCCAGTTTAGGTGAGTTTATTTTATAAATAAATAATTGATTATATTTGCAATATATTTCTTTTTGTTATAATTGGTTTAATAACAAAAACACATGTTACTTGATTTCTTTAACTCTCGTATATATTCCATAATATTATATGTATACATGTCATCGTTTTCGAACATGTATTTCTATTATTTATCTTTAAGTGAGTTTGTTGATTTATTCTTATTCTGTTATAAATTTTTTCATCCATTCTTCCATAAAAAGTATATCCTATTTTTAAAATCGTAATGTTATACAAATTTTCCAAATTTTTATAAATTTATTGTATTATGAAAAATATGACAAATATTTCGCATAAAATGATACACATTTTTATAAAAGTATCTAATTTTTGGATAATATTTGATTATTATAAAAGGACGTTTATTTTTATGTATTCATGTGTCCAATGTATTTTCAATCGAGCGGTCCAATTTATTTTTTAGTTGTTTTGCTTGGTTACGAACATATTTCTCTCATGAAACATTATAGCCTGATCAATAATCGTCTTTGATTTAGTTTGGTAGTCTTTGATTTAGTCTGGTCTAGTCCATTTCGTTAATCAGCTGATTCGTGTCGTGCAATCAATGCCTTACGAATCGTGTCGAACGATTGCACAGATCTCGGAAAAGAAGGCGGCCTTGAGGCGCAGTGGTCTCGGGTCCTGGGAAGAGTGCATGCGACCATTGAGAGAAACGAGCGGCGCCTGGTAGAACAAGATCGCCGAGAAAGGACAGAGTTAGATTGGAAACAAGTCGCTCTGGTCAGTGATCGTGCGCTATTGTGCGTTTTCTTTCTCACGACAATTATTAGTACGGCGGTGATTTTATGCGGCTCACCTCCGACTCAGGATGCATCTAAAGATGGGTAATCCTTGGATTATCGATTCGATTAATCGACTAAATGGTTGGCGGTCATAACTTCTTCTTCATCATTGCTGGACTCAAAGAATAATTTTATTCTCTCCACATATATTGCACATTAAAAAAGATTAAACAGTTCAGTAGATTCGTCGATATAAAGAATATATGAGTGTGTTTCTCGTTATCTGTTTTATGATGAGATATGTGTACTAATCCATGAATAAGTAGTTTTGATAGAAACTTCTTGCTCCCTACAAAGAAATACTGGCATTATAAAAAATAAAAATATCTTTATTTTTCATTATTTATGATGTGATTATATTCCAACTAGAAGTAAAGTTACTAACATAATTATGACTGTAATTATTATAAACAAATTTAATTGTTTAATTTCTAATTATTTTTTTAAATGAAGATTAATAGAAAAAAAGTTCGATTATTTCGAGACTTCAATTTTTATCGGTTTTTTTTAATTCGTGAATTTTTTGCAGTCTATACGCGTACATTTAAAAAACGAAATATTTATTTCCCAAACAGAAGTAAAATTAAAGAATAAAATTGATTGTTAGAATCATTATTGGCAACAAATTTATTAATTTTTTTCTTTCTGAAGAAATTCTCAGACTTTTTAAAAATTTATATGTTTCAAAAGTACAACTTAAATTCACTTTTACTCTTGATGTTTTCTCTTTGATATTGAACAAACAAAGTAGCTGAAGAAACTGTAAATATATGCATCGAATTTGTCAGAATATGTAAATTTAGCGATGCCGTAAGTTCATAAAAATTCGTTAGTACATTAACAATATCAATAGGTTTATTAATATAAATGTTAATATTTAGATCTAGAAATAAACGTTCCTTATCTATAAAGAACTCGATATCTGAATGTACGATAGATGTATGGTTAAAAATTAATACATATTTGAACAGGGTTGAAAGTATAATCAAGACATAAAAAGAATAAATAATGAAATAAACTTTATTTATTATATCCAGTAACCATGGAAGTCCCATAACCACATTTTTAAGTTATACAATTTTTTATAAGTGTGTAATAAATTAATCTTTCTTTGTATCTATATATAAAATGTTTTTCTCTTTCATACATTTCCATCTATAGTAAAAATATTAAATATGTAAATAGAATATATATAAATGTGAGTCTCTTTTAATAATATTTAGTAATAATCAGGTACAGGTGCACAGGCTATTTTCACAAAGTCTTCATATTTAACATGTCCATTTAGAGATACGTTGGCCTCACGAAAGATCTGTTCCACTGTAACAGAAGACGGTATGTCATAAAGCAATAGTAAAAACAAAATTGAATGAATTATTTATTTACCTTCTTTGCTACTTAATTGTTCTCCCCAGTGAAGCAACATGTGTGCCAATTGCCGTGCCAGAATGGTGCCACTGTGAGAGATATCCGCAGCTTGAAAAGCTTTAATCACTTCTTTCGGTAGATCCTCTGCACGAGTCTGAAGATGCATGACTTCCAAGAAATCAGCAAAAGACATTTTTCCACCTGGAATTGAGGTAGACAAACACTTCTCATTTGAAAAAAAAAAAATTGAGGTAGACAAACACTTTTAATTAGCATAAAAACATTGTTACCTTTATCCTTCATATACTTGTTTAATTCTGCAATAGTCGGGCTTAGCCCTAAAGATCTCATAATTATGGTGAGTTCATCAAGGAAGATGCATGACTTCCAAGAAATCAGCAAAAGACATTTTTCCACCTGGAATTGAGGTAGACAAACTCTTCTCATTTGAAAAAAAATTGAGGTAGACAAACACTTTTAATTAGCATAAAAACATTGTTACCTTTATCCTTCATATACTTGTTTAATTCTGCGATAGTCGGGCTTAGCCCTAAAGATCTCATAATTATGGTGAGTTCATCAAGTGTACGAATCTGACCGCTTCGAGCAAACAAATAGAAACATTCCCGAAACTCTATAAAAAAAAAAATAATGTTAATGTTTATTCAACTTATGCAAGATGTACAAAAAAATATGCAATGATAATATTGTGATACCTTCAACGTACCATCTATATCTTCTTCTCTAAAGTAACGTGCCTGTAATGTTACAATTATCATTGAATAAATACGAAGGGTAAATAGAATTATAAATAAACTAAGGAACTCTATTATGTCAAAGACAGTTACATGTATAGGACATAGAGAAAGTAGATCAAGTCTCAAATTATAATATTTCCAATAGATTTAATAATTAAAATATATATATTAAGATTACCATGATTGATTATCAGAAGATCGCGTTCTTTTCTCGAGTATTGGATTGTTTCTTCACAATTTTGACACAACAGATGACAGATGTTTAACGCAGCGAGACATAACCTTGTCTCACCAGTTCTATCTTCGTAGCTTGGAAAAGAGCGACATCATCTGCCGCGATGATGTACTAAAAATCAATCGTGCCAACTTTTTTTTTTTTTAAAGATTGGCAAAACACTCAAATATCAGAGAAATAATTTCCATAACGATCAAGTCGAATACTGTGTTGAGGAAGACGAAATTTGAAGGTTTTTAAAGAATTGCTGAGAAAAAAGAAAAGATTTGTTGTCCAAGGCAACATCAGATATATCAGAAAAGTAAGTTGCATAGTAAGTTGCTGTAGTATCTCAAAGATTTTTCTCTTATACACATATTCTGGAATTATAATATCATACAACGCCGTTTAACCGTATGTACAATTATTTAGTTCAATTTATACATACATTTTTTGGCATCATATTTTATTTATATTTTTGGAAAATCTGCCAATCTCTTTCGCGAAATATTTCAGACAATTGCATTAAAAAAGATTTTAAAAGCTGATTGTTTAAAGATTTTGATTTACCTATTTGGCAAAAAATTAAAAAAAAAAAATATACGAATATTTCTGTAACAATTCGTTGAGATGGTTGAAAAAGAACGATTAATCAAATGGCACTAGCCGTTCGGCAACTTTACGAGGAATAAATTCCGCGCTAATTGCGACTAATACGATCGGACGGCGAAAAAAGCCGTCCGCAGCATCCCGAAAAGAATGGCCGAACGGAACAATGATCCGGTAATCGTCCCTTCCGAGCGACGGTAGCGGATTAGAATTTATTTTGAATGTGTGCCGCGCGTATACTATTGATTAACGTTCGCCTTTGCTTCTCGTTAAAAAGGCTTCGCCATCAATCTCGCGCCTTTTATAAAGGGGGCGACGATCACTCTCTTTTCCATCCCTCGGATCTACCCTAGAGACGAATCAATTTTTTTCGCATCTCCGGGAATGACTCGACGATTCTCGTTTAGCGTTACTTCGTGACGTCAAGAGGAAACACGAGAGACGAGGAATATCGACTTTGCTCGCGCGACACGATTGCGAATTAATGGTGTAATTTGGTTCCGCGAGTAAAAATATATATCGAGAGATTACGTACGTAAGATTCTTGCATTTCTCTCAGTCAAAGTCACAGAAAGATATTTGATCCAATCTATCAAGATTTTCTGACATTTGTGTAAATGAAGTCTATACGTGAAATTGGATTTAACGATAAAAAAGATAAAATTATCTCTTACATTCTAATCTTATTTTCGTTTCGTTTTGTATTATTACATTAATTCTATCTTAATTTTATTTGAACTTGATATTAACATTAACTCAGTCTTTTCTATTCTAATTATTAAATATGTTTACAATTTGATTTCTCTCTCTCTCTCTTATCTTACGGCTAATATTGTAGATTGGATATGTCATTCTTAAAACAAAAACGTAATTACAAATCGTTCTGTAAACAAACGCGAGAACGCGATCATCACAGCAGTTAATGTGAAGCTTCCTCGTTCGATAGTTACGAACAATTAGCGTTCCTGCCGGGGTTAGCAGTCGTTGAGAGCGAATACGAACTCGCAGCAGCCCGTGGAAACTAATTGGATATCGCGGGCTCGTCCTTTGTAGCATACCGTTTCCATAATTAAATTGCTCGCGGCCCCGGCGCCGCCGCATGTCGATAATCAAACTAATCCAGCGCGCAACATTCCCGGGGTAATGGTTTCGCGCCGTCGAAGACCAACGGGATGGAGGGAGGGAGGGAGGGAGGGATTCCAAGCCGCCACCCTCCGTCCTTCTGTCATCATCGTCGTCGCTTTTACGCGCTCCTTTTGTTTCATTGATAGATCGCCCTCCTTCGCGTAGGGAAGAGTAAAAGCAATATACCGAACGACAGATACGAAAATATATAGCGCGACAGACGCGGGAACTGTACGAAGTAGATGTAGATCTATGGGGGTAGACGGTAGGGAGGAGGAGGAAAGAGAGAGAAAGAAAGAGAGAGAGAGAGAGAGGGAAATCGAACGAGGAATACACCAAGGGGAAAAACGGAAGGGAGGCGGAATATCTCGGCGTAAAGGATGCGAGCGAGATGGAGAAAGTTCGAAAGGACGACGACGCCGGGCGCTCGCGCATCTCGTCCTGTCTGTGTGCCGGCTGCTCCAATCTTCCTCCTCTCGCACGGAGGAGGCTGAACAGGAGACAGGATGAACGCGCGCGCGGGTGCGAGTCCGCGGGCGACGTGTTCGCCGCGAGATAGAATGGTTGGATGGGGCGAGAGGGGGTGTGAGGGTTGAATAAGCCCGTTTCGTTTGTGGAGGGGAGCGATTCGGCGCGAGGGGATGACAGAAGGATACGGGAGAGAAGGAGAAAGAAACATTTATTCTCTGCGCTTTGACAAATGTATAAAAATAAATGTATATTAGCACGTCATTTTGTTCAATATTCACAATTACACTTTACGCGATCGCGAAACTTTGAAATCAAAGTCTCGACTAACTGTGATTTTACTATAATAAATATGTTAACATGTGTATAAGAGAGAGAGAGAGAGAGAGAGAGAGGAGGGAGAAAAAGCGCGAGTAGCAGACGGAGCAGTGGAAAATCTCACGGCGTTGCGTAGATCGGAGAGAGAGAGATAGAGAGATGCGAGAGAGGGGGAAGCATACAGCTGGGTCGAACGCGCGCGCATGTGGTGGTGGAAGTCGTTGTCCTCGGGAGTCTTCGTACGCGCGAATCTCATCAGTCCGATGCGGACCGCGCTCACGTCGATATCGGTAATTCGTGCGTACCGTGTTCGTGCTCGCGCGCGGCGTGATATTTCGTTTCGCGTAACGCGGTGCGTCTCTCGCCACGGCTGTCAACGTAAGCGACGTGTCAAAGGACGTCGACTGTCTCCTCATTCCGCGTGTGTATGTGTGTTTAGTGTCCCTGTGTGTGCTGCCCACCGTATCCCGGATGCCCGATGTGTCCCGCACAGCGGAGTACGCGGGCGGCGTCGCTATGCGACGGTGAACGCCGATGACACACGGGGCTTTCATCCTCGCGTGGCGCGCGACATCGGCCAGCAGGATCGCGGTTGAGAGAACACCCGTGGCCTAGACGGCAGGATTTTCGGGGCTACGAGAAGCTGCGCCTCGGTGAGTGTCAGACATTTATATATACAACAGAGCAGGCGCAACTGTGTGTGTGTGTGTGTGTGTGTGTGTGTCTGTTCGTGCGTATACAGGGCGGCCCGGCAAGCATGTCCTTTCAAACGCGGCATCTTTGACAGATTTCAAGTCTATCGGATAAAATTCAAACAGAGGGGACGCCATTTTCCGCAATATTCAGATTTATATACGCGTTGATATTTCGATATTACACTTTTCGATATTACACATTCAGATTTTATCGAAGTTGATGAGAAAATAACGATGAAATTCGTAATTATCGATACCTTGATATCCTTGATCTATCGAAATAATTGTTATTTTCATTGTTGCGAATTCTGTTGTATGCATCGTTGAGAGGATATGTGATAATGAGGGGGGGAAACCTGTGTGTGTACGCATCTTGCACGCGAGTTCCCTGTTTCGTCACATTTGAATACCCCTGCAATTCTCTGCGATGTGTCTCGAGATCAGAATGATAGGAACATATTTTTTACTTTACGAGATAGATTTCTCGTGGACTCGGGAAGCTTGTTGCATATTCGATCAGTTCGATCGAGGTACATTTTAATATACATGACGTAATATGTCAAAATAAAAGCTTTTGTTTCCGCTGCATTGACGCGCGTTCGTAATTGTTAGCTGTGACAATATAATAAAAGTTTCTATTTATAATTTTATATAAAAAAGAAGGAGATTTGGAAAATGCGAGGGTATTTTGTGCGGCTACTATTAAATTATATTTCCTGGCATTACACAGATTTACGTGTTTAAATTAGATATGTACCTCCTACAATGTTTTAATTCTTAAATTTAAGCCATACTTTTAACGATTAAATTTTATTTTATAATAGCTTTTTTTAAAGGGATTAATATAGTGCCAGATTTAAAATAATTCGAGAGACAAAATAAATTAAATAAAATTTTTATAATTTTCTTATGTGATCATCTGCTTAGCAATTAAGTATAGTCAATTATGATTAAAATTTAGCATTGCCAATTATAATCAAAAATCTTTTTTAATATTTTATATCAATATGATTGAAATAAGAATTATAGTCTCATACCTTTTTTTTTTCTTTTTTTGCTCTTTTTCGCTAAAGTCTTCTCTATGATAATAGGACTTTGAAATATACCATAATAAAGTAGCTTGAGACCTCGGGATAATTTAAAAAGTGTCAAGACTCTGTCTTTTGATTCTTCGCAATCTCGCTGTTTGAACACGAGAGGTTTACGCGCCAGATAATTTACATAAATTATATCTCGCGTTTTTTAAATTAGTGATTACGGAAGATGAGTTGGCTTTGTCGCCTCATCCTTCTGACTGAATCGTTCTCATTGGCGAATACGATAAACATCGAGGAAATATTTGCGATAAAAGTATATTGGTAACCCCTCGTCAAAGCTTTTGGATGAAGTTTGCAAGCTCGGTCGCAATGTCGAGGAAGTAAGTGCAAGACCTGTACATTGACGTCCGTCATTTCTTCTGCTCCCTCCTAGGTAAAGTGTTTTACCGTGTTATGCCAAAATGGCACTCAGGGTTTTCGCGATACGTATATCACGTTTAGGGATAAAGGAAGGGAAGTGAACCGGTTTATTATTAAGTTTATTGTTTTCTTTCATATATCCATGAGATGATAATATGATATTCTCATCCCATGGACCTTTAACAATTAAAATAGAGAACGAGAATTATGAGAATGAAATTATATTAATTCTAATAACGGTCGGTTGAACGTTCGGCGATTATAATACATACCGGGAATGAAAGATAACAATAGCGATTTAAATCGCTTTCCCGCATGTGTATTGTTTAATATTGAAACTTTTATCTTCAGTATCTTGGCTTCCTGGAGTTATTTAATCCATACTTATCTTTCTTTCTCTTAGATTGGCTAGATCTTTCAATTTTAATTAGTTAGTCGGGGTGAGAACGCGTGCAGGGTTGTTTCGAATTTCGGCTTTGCTTTCTCGACTAAATGAAAGTAGGTCAGAAATTCGTAATATATACACTGAAATTCCCAATGGGTTCCACAATACGCGCGATAACATTACGAATCTCGATGCTATTATTTGGATGGTTGGATATGTTGGAGGAGATTGCTAAAATATATATCAAACATTATGATTGTTATGCACAGCTACGTTTAATCTGGGGAAAGAAAGCACATATACAAGCTTATGATATAAAATATTAACAAAAGATTTTGCAGATTACATATTAAAAATTACTTTCAATTATAATGAATTCTCATCTCGTAAATTCAACTCTTGTGAATAAAATAACACGAAGATTCGTGTGAACGTAATTCATAAATTATTTTAGGCTCAAAACTTTTTTGTGGTCATATTTTGTCACAGAAATAAATTCAATGGATTCAAATTAGCGATAAAATTAGTTTGTTTTCTGATCAATTCTGAAAATTCATTAATTCCAATAAAACTGTATAAAATAGTATTTTCGCTTTTTAAACGAAAATATATAAATTCAGCATATTTTTGTAAGGTTGGTGAATCTCTGATTAATTTTTGTTCTAAAAGTGTTTGAAAATTATAAAGAAATCATGTTTTACTGAAATATTGAAATATTTTTATGTTATGAGGTACAATATACCGTTAAAAAAATATATTCTCTGAAATTTTTATGTCGAGTTCTTTTCATAAAATTGAACAGCAGTTAACGGCACGCACAGTCAAAGATTCCATCACATTCTCGAAAAAAAAAATCATTAGAAAAACAAGATGAAAATTGTATGCTTGTTGAATATTATTATGTGTATGTTTATAATGTGTGTGTGTATGTATGTGATAAAAACCCTAGAAAAATATTTCTAAACAAAATTAAGATCAGGACGACTATTTAAAAATGATTCTATTGAAAATCAACACATATGGGATGTAAAAAAAACTTTGTTTTGTAATTATATATCTCTCGGAAACTATACGTGATGATATCTTTTGACTCGTGGATCATAATTGCGTTTCTTTAAACTAATCAAAATAATCTGATTTTTTCGTTGGAGATTGGAAAGAGTATTAAAATTTATTATACAATGTAATCGATATTACGAAAACACGTTACGGGGTAATCAAATTTCTAAAGAGGACTGGGATTTATCGATGTTGAGAAAGATTCGATGAATCGTCATCCGGATGGCATGCCGGGTCGATTCGCTCGTTCATAATTATTTTATACGTCCCGACTCTATCTCTTGCTTGGACGCTTGGACATTACGCAAAACATGTTTCGCTGGCGTTGCGAGGTAACGGTTCAGCGAGGCGGGCTTGGAAAATTGTCCGATCGCCAGCGAACGGCGAACGACGCTTGCGACACGTTGATCCCCTCGGCATCGAGTCTTCATCTGTCGATATTTCTGGATTATCCCGATCGAGTTTTGATAACGTACCGCGATGATGAGAGAGAGAGAGAGAGAGAGAGAGAGAGAGAGAGAAACTCTATAGTTAAATCCTAGAATAAAGTGTCGAGTATAATATGCATGGACGAATGAAAGAAGGGGCGAATTTTTGATGTTTCGTGAAATGTCTGTGCTGAAATCGGATGTCGGATCCGAGACTATTATATCATATATGATAGTCGAGAAGATTGTGAGGAAAATCCGAGTTTTGCATGCTAAGAGATTAATTTATCCTTCTAAGAAAAAATACTTGGTCTGTATCTACGCGAATGATGATTCATTCAAAGTGAATGCATTGGAGAAACGGGTTTCTTTCGATTCAAGGCGAATTCATTGGGGAGTTCGCTTTTATGTGACGATGAGAAAACTAGGGAAAAAAGAACAAAAGAATCGTTTCACAGAAATAATAATCTGCATTTACGGCGGAAATAGAGATTTTCGCTTCGCGGTATAAGTTCTATTAATAACTCTATATGTAAAAAATAGTATAGCGGGTTTTTTTTGAATTGTGAAGTTAGATTAATGGATTCTGAGCAAAAGCATGTGTGCGACTATATTTTTATAAAACTAATATTTTTATTATATATTCGTTATTATATTTATATTAATATTTAAGTATTAAGCAGATTTTTTAAATTGCTGAAATTGTGCGTGAATATATCCAAGATTACTATCAATTTTAAAAATGGATTTGTATACAACGTTGACAGTTTCAATTACAAAAATATATCGTATTCCTATCATTTTTCAACGCGGAACGAACCATTTTTGCGGAAACATCGTTCGCATGAGTCACTTCCTTTCCGCTTTAGGCGACTCCGGGAATAATCATCAAATGCGAACCGTGTAAATTCGCCGCTTCGCCGTGCCGGGACTTGCGAAATGCGAGTAATAGCTTTCGCCGTGCCAAGTCATTCTTCCGCCTGCACGGACGAGGCGCGATAAAGCTCCTCCTCGTACGAACATCGCGTCGACATTCCATTTTCGGAATGTAGTGTCTATCCCCCGTCTGGGGACCACCTCTAGCCCCCGATCCCAAGTAAGTGTATTCGGCTGCAATGCTGCAGCAATGCTTCTGTAATTTATTTTGGCACCAAACTTTAGAGTTCTGAAATATCGCGACCTACCTACCTATTTAATTGTGAACTTTACAACGGGTCGAAGAAGAATGTTCGAAACGAGAATAATAACAAGAAAATAATATCGCACCACCGTTTCTGACGCGAAGACTTTGTCTTGAAAACTCGGGTGTGCTGAATCGCGTTAAAATAACATTTGAGCAAAATTATTCCCAACGTTGACATTTTCAAGTTCGTAAAGTTCATGCAAATTCACTTGTAATTAAACTTGTCTCAGATCTGGCCATATCTCGTTCTACTAATCATTATATTCAAATAATTTCCGCTTTATAAGCACGATGCAGTGAGATTACATTAAAAAACAAGATAAAACTTTTCAGATTCTTTTTTATTCGTCACATTTATCGTGCCACAATTATTTCATCGCGTTTTATATTTCAATTGTAATGTAATGTCAAATCTTATATATTTTTTTCTTCTTTAAGTCTGTCATGTTTATGATAAAGTTGGCTGAAGTAAAATATTCTAAAAGATCCGCTGGTGGCATCCATTGTTCATTGCTCACGAGCTTAAGCGTAAACATGATTTATTCGCGGATTATGCATCGTGTCACATCGAGGAAAAATGTATTATCGCCCCGGTGATGTCGAGCTTGCACGTCGCCCCCGTCGCGACGCATACACACTTTTATTTACACATTACAGTGTACATCTCTTGCGACGCTAGTCAGATATGTTAAAGCTCGATTATATATACGCGACTGTTCCTTTCTGAGAATGCATCTTGTGCTTATTATTTCATTTTGTTCTTCCGTTGGAAGAATTCGCGAGAAGAATACGGGAACGCGAACGGACCTGTGCGAACCTGTTTCTTTTCAACGCGGTCTTTTATGGAAAAAAAAAATGTAAAGCTCTTTTCTCGTATGTCGAAATATACACGTTTTGTGTAAACCAGTTGCGCGAAAACCAGTTTACCGCAATAAAACCGTGTACAGGAAATAGAAGATATATTATTAATTATATAATTCTATATTATATATCGAAGCTTAAAAAATATATATATATATATAATATTACGATAAAGATACACGAATTCGAGGTTAATGACTTCTTACTAATTTATACAAGACCTTCGAGCAAACTTTTTCAAAGGTATGCATTAATCGAGTCGTGTATTACTGGCTTCTCTAGACAAAGAATGGCATTTGCGTTCGATTAAAAATTTAAAGGTAAGTATTATATATGTTTGCTTGTAAATAGGTTTCTATATATAATTCTCTCTCTCTTTTCTCAATAAAAAAATTATCTCTCTCTTAATTATTATACTTTTATATATTTTATGACATATTTTTTTTTTAATAAAATGTGTAGAGTGTCCGCTGTTATTAAAAACAGTGTTACTGAATTTGCAAATTGAATATTATTTTGCGATCTGTATCTAAAAACGTAACACGCAATAACATCGAATAAAAATATATTGTGCTGTTACTAATTGTGTTTCGGCTAGCAAAGTTAACCTTCCTCGGGAAAAAGGAGTTCATGGAGTATTAACAATACGCGAAAGTCACTCTGCTAGTAGCGCGTTTCATTTGCATGTTTCAAAACTTTTTCCATGAAAAATGCAAACTGTTTGCGCGTTATAAAACTACTGTATTTCGCGAGTATTTTTAATCGTCGTTGCTCATTAATAATCTCTTCCGCGTCGGCTGCATGTACCGAAATTTCAGGCGACCAATTTACGATGGTACTGGGAAATGGGATTAGATTGTGTTATCAGAAGTAACTTTGCATCGGAGTAGTTTTACGGAGCCATACATTATTCAACGAATAAATTAACAATTAACTCATGGAATTATGTAATTATCAAAACTTGAATTAATATAAATAACTTTCTTAGATATTAAATTTTTATTCCGCGAATATATTAAACGTACGAAAAATTGTTATATTTTTTACTATACGTACGGATTAAATAAAATATTAAATTATTATATTCCATCGTAATATAATATTAACACACAACACATTAATTTGTTATCTTTCGGTTATTTAAAAATTTTTATTTGCTATTACACAGAATTATATCTTTTGTCTATTGGCGTAGCTCTCGTTATATGCAGGATCCGTACATATGTATCAGGACCATTAATGCGCTCCATTATACAAGCCTGCTCGCGTTTATTCTCGTGCGAACAATCCTCCGGCCACAATTGCCGAGTCGACTTCGAAACACAAACTCTCTTTTATGGTTTACAAGTTTACTTTTACGAGGTAAATGTTCTCGATCACTCTTATCACTTCCCTTGCAGCGCATAAGTGGAAACGGGGCGCATAATTTCGCAGCGCGGCAAGTTTCACAATCGCGAGTTTGCGGCTCTAATACACAATCTAATCTTCTCTACCAAGAATAAATTTCGCGTGTTTATAGAACTTATGATCAATTTTTCGGTGCACATTTTTGTCAACAGGATCGATCGACGACCGGACACCTGGAGGTGGTAGACATCAAGGAGAAAAGAGGATGAGAGGAGGAGTCGATCCGCCGTCGAAGGTGAGGCGAGGTGGAACCGACTGAAAAAGAGAAGAAAAAGAAGAAAAAAAGAAGAAGGCTGAAAGTGAAGAAGAGACGCGGTGGAGGAGACGGCGGAGAGGGGTCGAAAGGTTGAGCGACCTACGGACCACGACGAGGAGGAGGTGGTGGCGGGGAGAGGGTAGACGGGGAAGAAAGAGGAGGAGAAGGAGAACGACCGGTGGAGAAGGACGGAGAAATGATCTTGGTAGGTGACTGGCAAAGTGCTTCGGTGGTCGACTCCTCGACGAAAGGCAGATAGCGCCGCCATTAGTCGTTGCCGGGGCACGGAACATCGGGCCCATGCGCGTTGCGGCCCTGGCCGTGGGTGAGGAGGGTGAGGAGGAAGAGGAAGAGGACGAGGACGAGGAAGAGGAGGCGGAGGACCGAACGGGGCATCGCCACGAGGTTCGCGGGCTCGCGATGTGCCCCGCGGCTACGGCGGCAGTGGGGGGCAGAAGTCGACAGCCCGCCACGATGTGTCCGATTTTCTTTGTGCTGCTGCTGCTGTTACCTGTCTGGATCCTGACGATCGTCGTCGATGCGTCTCCCCTTCATCCCGTACCGCCGCACAGAGGTGAGTCACGTTTACCTTTCTTTGTCGACTCGTTAGAGGAACGGTGCCCCAAAGTCCGCGTACACTTTGGATGATATTAAATTCGTTGTACGATGAATTTGTATGGACATGTCGATTCACTATCGGATAAAGAATTTTTAGAATTCCAAAAGTTTCTTGAACTAACAGCCAATCAGTACCTAAGTCCAACAAAACTTATCATCGACAATATAATAGCACTTCTATAGAGCAAAGATTGGAAATTAAAAATTGGAAAAGAGAAAATTTTCATTAAAATTTTCCTTTTCGTAAAGAGTTTTCTCTTTCACATCTAATTATTTAATTTTCTAGTGAAACAAAATTCAAGATTAAGATTTTAAAAATATAATTGTTAGTAAAATTATAATAGAAGAATGAAAAAGCTCATTAATATTGTTTTGGGTGAATAAATAATTATCATGACCTGACAAATAAATTATACATAATGTTAAACATTTTTTAGTTTTTTAGTCTAGTCTAGTCTTAGTTACTCTATTTTTTTAGTTTTTTTTTAAATAATTAATAAAATATTGTAAAATAAAGCAGTTATAGATTTTAAGAACCGATTTTTTGGGGTTTTTAAAATTATTTATTTAAAATTATTATTCGCATTTTGATACAAAAAGCGTAAAAACGAATGACACGTGGAGAAATTATGAAAATAGCCTATGAATATAGAATCAAAAGAAAGATTTGATTTCCAATAAAAATTATTTTCGCGATTTCCGGTATTGATTCGAATGGAATCACGAGTAATTCGCGATTGAGTTATATATTAGATCTGTTCTCATTTAGCAATCTGTAATGTGCATCTCGCTAATGCTATCATGTAATTCTAATTTGTATAATGAATATGAAATCGGTCTCGCATGAGAGATTGATTCATAATTAATAGATTCATATGGATTAACGATGTTTTTATTGTTTCTTTGATATATATATATGAGTATAAATATATATGTATGTACAATGCCGTTGTATGTGCAAGTTTTAAGTTCTATTTTATTGAAAATAACTATATTTTTCGTATATTCTCTTTTAATATCGATTCAGGAACAATGATAATGATAATTTAGAATATTCGACCAGCTTGACAAATAAATCTTGATTTTTTTTTACTTTTTGAATTAAATATTTTCATTATAATCTAAGATAAATTTAATAAAATTTGGTTTATTATCGCGATTATACGTGTTTGCGTGACTCTCGAGATACTTTAGAGATATCACGCCATTCAATGTCCTGAACGGGTCCATCCGCGCTGTTCGACGATGATAGTCTCAACCCATCCCGATACTCCCCTTTGCCTCACGTGTTCCTTTTATGTTCCGATCGTTCGATCGATAGTATTTACGGAAACAATGGTACGCGACCTTAAACGGCACTCTAATTGCGAAAGCACGTGATGCAAACTGCATTTCGCGTTGTTTTATTGACCGTTCAAATCATATATATACATCGAAAGTTGCTTAAGTCACATATCTGCAAAGTCTGTTCATTAAAATGAATATATCGCGCAATTTATATTTCGTATCTTCATATTTGTTTGAAATTTTTTTGTGGACTTAGATAATTAAAAAATGTAATTGCGATGGTTAAATAATTAGACAAATATCTAAAATAAAAATTTGTAGCGAAGACTATGATAGTAAAAGATAATTAAGTTGAATATAAATAATGAACTGTTTTCTTTGTTTATTCAGCTCTTTTTCATTCTCTTGAAAAACAATTATTATGTAGATATCTAGGCGAGAAAAACATGTCGAGTGCGAGTAATTGGATTCGAATGTGATCGGATTGAATCCGAGAGCTTTCGTTTGCCGGATGCGATTGCTCTTATCACTAATAATAAGATTCTAGACCATTTGCACATTAATATATTCCTTCTCATCAATCTAATTGAGCGCGTTTATAATTAAAATTAACCAAATTATATATGTGAATAAATAGACAATTTTCTTTTTATTCGCGCTTTTAACTACTCGGTAAAATTTTTTAGTTTTCAATTATTTTTTATTAAAACAGTTTTACATACGCAAATACTTCCCGGTCATTGAGAGATCACTTCGTACGGATTACAAAGATATCGAAAAATTATTAAATTCGATATATTGAAATCTAGTGGCTGGGTTATAAAGGTTAATATGTGTGCACCCTTTCGGTTAAATGGACGAGAAACAAGTGCACTTTGGTCGCTGTACTTGTCCGAGATCTAAAAACGCGTCTCTGAGGAGCTCTTTTGGCCGAGTGTTCGTAGTGAATGCTTGAGCGTGTGTTCATTTCTTTTAAAATTTTTGTCACTTTACCATTCTTAAAACATTAAACAAGTTTTCATAACAAATATGATATTTTGCAACATATACAACGTACGGAAATGAAATAACTGACTTTGCAATTATTTTACGATAAAATATCGGAATCCATAAATAGATAATTATGTTTGTGAGAGCCTCATAATTTAGACATTTGGTTTCTCTTATTAGTTTTTTCTTCTTATTATCGAAATTTAAGTTATATTTCTATAAAAGCGAATAATATTGATTTTGATTATTATTAGGTATTCTTTAAATATTCTTTGTTAAATATAATGCTGCCTAATTTTAATGATGTAATTTAGTGATACAAATACGGATCTCATATTTATTCATGGATGTATTCGTTTTATTGCTCTATATTTTGCTGTGTTCCGATTCCCCACCGGGTGCACCCGATATTATAGTATATGTCACGTATATTATAATATTGGGTGCACCCGGATGGGGGATCGGAACACAGCTTTTAATGATAGAAATCATTGGTTGAGTTTACTTTTTTATTATACCCGTCTGAAGACGTATAGAAATTTGTCGCATCCTATTTTTTACAATAAACTATGCAAGTGAAAATATGCTCGTCCGACCTACGTACTTTTGAATTTTGCAACGATCTCGGCAAAATGCGATACAGTTATCGCGCGTTTTTCTGTGGACAATCGAGCGCGATTTGAATACGCTTTAATGTTTAAATTACGTAACAGAACTCAAGTATTTCAATCTGACAATGGAAATATTGAAAATATTTGTCTGAATCGGTTTTCTTTAATTTTGAAAAAAAAGTATTAAGTTTCCAGGGGGGAATACCTTTACCATTATTTTTAGACTATAGCAGAATTATTTAATATCATATAAATAAAAAATAAAAATATATTACTCAAAAATAATTTTGCATTTTTATAGTTATTTAATTATACTTATAGATATAAAATGGAATTCTGTTAAAAAATATTTGTTTTTATAAAAAGACTTGCTTTATGTTTAAAACGAGAAAAGAAATATAGCCGTATAATTCTGAAATACGATGTGAGCATGAATTAGACTCACATTTTCAGAGCTCTAGTATCATATTATTATAAATAAGGTAATCACAACCAAGACGTTGAGTTGTACAATACGAAATAATATATTAATAATTTTGTATGTAAGCATTATATCCTGTAGCAACAAAAGAAATTTTCTTTTCGTCTTCTTTGTTTGCCTATAAAAAAAGAGATTAACGGGAAGACTTTTTAGTTTATCTAAGAAATGAAGAAGCGTTTCTTCGCGCTCTTAATCATGCTCGCACCTGGTACAAACGTACGCTTTATGGCGCGACTCATCTTCGCATGACTCGCGATTTACGGTTTGCGCAACGCATTCTCTTCCCAGAGACGTGGCCATTAATAGAACCGTTTCCTTCACATGCATTTTTTCAGATATCACGCGCAACTCATACATCGGATATTACGAGGCAGCTACTTATGACACCGCGACCTTGAGACAACATCGCAATCGGATACGTCGCGACGTCACCGACTCCGAGCAACCTCTGATTTTACACCTGAAGACGCTTGATAGGTGAGTCCCATAAGCGAATCCATCTTTCCTTATCTCGATACACACGACGGTACAACGAGCTCCTTTTTCCCTCGTGCGTGGCGTGGCGTGTTTCGAGCAAAGACACAAGATCGATACCGGATCTGACTTTGGACATCCGAGAAGACTGTTGAAATTTCAGCTATCTCGAACACTAGATTTTAGTTTCAAAATCAAAATAAGACGAATATCGGAAGTTTGAAAAAGATATCAGATTTCGATTTTTGCAGATCTATGACATTATGAAGACTTTATACGATTTAGCAAAACTTCTCTGAATAAGCTTTTGTAATTATACAATTTTTTACAAATTTCGAAAATTGCGGATACTGTATCTTTTACATACGATTGTAAAACGACATGGACAAAGTCGCCGCAGCGTTCTCGGTATGTCCTAATTAGGTCAGTGGTATCTGAATCCGATTAAAGATGGTGGTCAAGACCAATTCACGTGTGGCTTATATAATTTGTATATATCGCGTATAATCGAAGTTATTTGGAAATTGTGTGCTATACATACATATAACTTTTTTATAAAAATAGAGATTTACTAATAGATATCGAAGGAAGTTGTTATCTTTCTTAACAAAGAAAACTGAGTTTTTTTTATATTTTCTAATATTCTTAGGATTATTAGACATCCCTATTTTTTATTATACAAGTTATTCTTTATATATTTTTATCATTTTTTAAGAATCTTTCATTTCTTCGTAATGGAAGATTATGTTCAACACAAGATGTATTGTAAGATATAATTTTTAAAGCTTTTTCTAAGACAAGGAAATTTTGTTGCTAAAAGCGATTACAGCAGCAATGCTTACAGATATGATAATTGGAGAATTATAGAAAAAATGCGAATATAATATCAATGTTTGCACGTCAAACTAGATTTACTAGATTTACTATCTACAGGAAAAGCAATTATAGAGTTTCACTCTCGCGGTTATTTAATGTAAGATTGGAACATAACGCAACATCGGAAAGTTTAATTTATGATAGCGCTCCAGTTTAACAACGATACAAACCGCGCTCTAGTCTGTCGATGTATTACGGAATCGTTTAAATATTGACTCGCGCTTTCACTCTTGCGGCGTATTTATTAACTTAAGAAATGAATACTACAGATAACGGTCCGTCTTCCTTGTATATTCCGAATTATAACGGTACATGATATGATTTTCTCGAATTCTTTAATCCTCTTGAACTACAAAATTATATTTTTATCAACGCTACCATTTTTTATTATAAGACATAATGAGGAAAAAAATTAATTGACAGATAATAAATAAACAGTTTTTATTTATTATCCCTTTATTAAATAGTAGGATATTATATATTTATAGAAATTAAATGTTGAGTGACTTTCTTATGTATTAAGGTATGAGGTAATTACATCATTTCAATAATAGAGAAGATCGTGTCAGATGAATTCTATAATCGCATTAAATCACCTCGGATCCGAAAATTTCGTCTGGTTTCGCGTCCCGCGAGGAGCAATGTTAAACATTTGTCGAACTATCCATTATGCAAGAGACCGTGACGACCGCGTGCACCATGTAGATTGCAAAGTTACAACGAATGGTTTAGTATCTCGGCCGTAGCGAAGTGACCCGGTAGAAACGGTTTGCTCGCGAGCCCATCGCCATCGTGTTCCCTCTTCCTCGCCCCCTTTCCTTTTCCCCCGGGGGGGAAGAGGAAAGGGAAACAAGTTTCCGAGGAAATTTCGCCCGTAATTCATAGACGTTAAGCTAATTAACTGGCGGGGACTTCTTGTTCTTACAGTCAGGAGGATTTGCGGCACCCCGGAGGAAGAGACGGGGGAGCAGCGGGGGGAAGGTGGGAGTGAAAGATAGAGAGAGAGAGAGAGAGAGAGAGAGAATGAGAGAAATCTTCTCGACGAGAAATCAGTGAGTCAAGTCCCGTGATTCCCCGTGCGTCGGATTTGGATGCGCGTAATTACCGCTAATTGCTCCAACGACGACGAGGACGACGTGACGTCATTGTCTTTTTTTTTTCGCATCTCTCGCTGGTGCGATTACCGTTACTTTCGAAAATTCGCCGTGAAGAAAATTTGTTGCGCCGCGCTTATCTCCTTGAAGTCATGGAATTAGAACATTGATGTTTCTATTAGCGGAATCGGTCTGTGTATCGGGGGAATAGTTGTCTTTCTCTCCTGGACAAGACAAGTCATGTGATGTATGACAATATATTTATTATTTAAATTTTGCGTATCTATTGAAAACATTTTAAAAATACATTAACTTAATTAAAATATACATATACGATTTTTGCTCCAATCAATTATATTATATCTATAATTATATAAAGCGCAACGATTACGATCGCTGCAAGTTACAGCCCACTATTGCCACTTATCTTGATGCGTTACGAGTCGCACAGTTATTACGGCTATACATTCCGCCAGACGCAATATCTACTGCCGTTCTACGTTCCAGCAATTCCAGGGAGTTTCAGTCTCGAAAGAATTTCAGTTCGCGAAGAATTCCCTACCTAAAACTGTCCGGAGAATGTTAAATAAATGAGTACAAGAAAAAATCGTGGGATATGTATTGGCATTCCCGTTTCGCGCACCTCCCTCGCATCGCAAATTTCACGTTCTACGCGACAAACGACACGCATCGTCTCTCAGGTGATACAAGACACAAGAGAGAGAAACATCCCTCGAACGTATTTCCTCCGCAGTCTCGTTCTCAGTCCACCGATGTAACTACAGCGTACATCTCTTTATGTAAATCGGTCGAATTCACGTCAGGCAATAAAATGTAAAGCAGAAGGGGGATCGAGCCGTGCGCGCGATTCCCTTCGTTCGTTCCCGGTGTCGTCGTCGTACCAAGCGCGCGCCACACCCTCCTGCCACCCCCCCTCACCCCCCGAAACCCTCCTGTACTGTCGCACGACGGTGGCGTTTCCACCCCGGCGCACCTGGTACAAACTGGCAAGATAATAGTTGAGGAGAGGAAGACAAGAAGAAAGTTCCCTCCGTGTACGACACAGACGCGCCGTCCCGGTTTCTTGTCGCAGCGGCCTTCACTCGGTGATTGTTCCCGTCGAGTATCGCAATGCGATTTTCTTGCCCTTATCCGTGCCGCGGATATATACGACCTGGCGAATTTATTTGGCAAACTTGCCGGCCGTTTATATCGTCTCTCATACTTCGCGAATATATATGGATCGTCGATAGACAGTTTTTATAAATTTTGTCGCGACGTTTGCGATTAGACTGCGATATATTTGTCCTATGATCTTTTCTCTCATCTACTTTGGGTTCTGCAAGGGATAAATTATAAAAATAATCTGCAATGTTTCATGAGGGTAATTTGTATTATATAATATATAAGCTATTGTACTCTATTTTTTTTATCCGATCGCGTTGTATTTATGAAATTGATTCTCATTCTTTATAAAATTAATATTAAAAAATATATATATAAAAACTGTGGGAAGAAAGCTATTTTCGAAGAAAAATTAAAATTAACATTTTTGAAGAAAAAAAAAAAATAATAATTTTGCAACACGAACTTTTTATACGATATACATATAACATATTTTTTGTTTAAAAAACGATTAAGGAAGATCATATTGTATATTTCTTTTTTAAAGATATATTTTTTGTCATATTATGAGAAAATAACTATTTATATTTTATCGACGATTTTATTAGTTTCTTTTAGTTTGTATGACACGCACACAGATGAGAAAACAATTTACATATTATATACATTTTTAGCGATTTCTCAATATATAGTTTAGTCTTGGGAAGAGAGAGCGGTACGGTTGAGAGTCGGAAATAGACATCGTATACAGGCGACACCTTCTCACTTTTCTACCCGCGCTTTTGTTTCTCGATGAAAGAGGCTTCGCGCATGAATAGGTCGTATGTACCTCGGCGCACCTAGCTCGGATGTTGCGGATCCAGTTTTCCCGTACGTGGGCACAGGTTTAGCATCCAAGCCAACGCATCGTTTCGTCGTGCATACGGGGGCGTTTTATGGGCGACTATGAAATATATGAAAGCTAAAGAGCACACGGTCGGAGCTGCTTTTTCCTCTACCTCTAAGATATTTGCATGTGTGCCTGTACTTCCTTAATATAATAAAGTCGACCTTTGTTACTAAAGCGCAGCATCGTAGCAAAAATCGTGAAAATTTACCTCCTCGGTGCGGGCGCGCGAGTCATAAAAAGTACGTATATCGCTCGCTTATGATCATTATGAAAATAAACGTTATGCAAAAGTTGCAGTTTCAAGGAAAAACAGGAAAATTATTTGAACTACTTCCCCGCTTCGTAGCACGATCGCTCTTCTTTTGAAGAAGTTATAACTGTTATAAAGAAACGTGCTCAAAGAATTATTAAACGGATGATACCTTTTTGTGACTGTATTAATATGTCAATATTTTCCGTAATGGTTAGAAAGAGCGAAGACCATGAAATTAATAAATAATATCTTTAATCTCTCTTAGTTATTAGCTCGAATCAATATTTGTGATAAAAGAGATACAGATATTTCATAGACTATTGACGAAGTTTATCTAAAAGCTAAAATGATTATAGAATATTTTTAAGAAAAAAAGTATATCAGTAGTAAAGTTCTACTTTTGCCAAAGAAATTTGGTACCGAATTTTCTTAAAGGAAAATGTAATCTCTTGATGGCATGATCTTTCTTCTTTCCTTTTATCAGCAACTTTTTTCATATTTAATGTTGAATAAATATAGTTAAATAATTTAGTATAAAAGAAAATAGTTTTTGAACGAAACTAAAAAAAAAGCAATTGTATTCTTTAATGTATTAATTTAGTAAATAATTCATCTCTCTTGGCATCTTAATTTTTATCATTTGAATAAGTGTGCGTATTTAGATATTATTAAATTGTTTCAGAAATTTATAATGATAGAAATAGATTAAGTGTTCCTTGGTTTTAATTGGAGAACATCTTGTACATACAAACTTAAGAGATTAGCGGCAAAAAGATTGGCAAATGCAACGAAAGTACGCCTTTTACAAGCTCGCGCATTAAAAGCGGCACTTAAACGACTTTTTCGCGAGGGGTTACGATGCGATGAGGCGAAGATACGACCAATGATGCCAGAATTGAGACGCGAGCAACACGACTCCGTACTGGTGGGGATACACACACAAGCGTAAACCGTGTACGTGTAATGCGCAGAGCGCTCTGCGCATTACACGTACACGGTTTACGCTTGTGTGTGTATCCCCACCAGTACGGAGTCGTGTTGCTCGCGTCTCAATTCTGGCATCAGTGGATACGACATAACGAGCCTCCTTCTAGACAAAACTGACGATTCAATGCGCGGTCTGTGGCGAAGGCGTAAAGACGTTGGATTATGAAAATTATTGTCGCGGAAGCAGCATGGCGAGCGCGCCATAAAGAGCCGGGACTAATTGTTACACTTTCCCTAATTCCTCGGGTAATGCGTCCCAACTCTGGCCGCGTATCTTTATGGTAATCCAGCGTGTTAGCGTCTTTTTGCTTGGGTACGTTAAAGTCGTTTCTTCGCCGGCGTCTTCGCGCTACTAATACGATGATAATAAATGCCGCGAAAAGAATTACGATCGTTCTGGCAGGTCTTTAAATAAAAGCGTGAATAACCGTTAGTTGATAATACATTAAAAGAACTTTATCCTTTAGGAATAAAATTATTTTCTTTCCGAATATGGACATTTATTGAAAGTAGATCGTTAGAGAAAAAGAAATTAATAATATGATAAATTCAAAATGCATTATATGTATATAATTGTTTTTTTCTATAGTATAATGCTTGTGATTTTTTGCATTAATTATACTATGAAGTACAAATTAAATGCGTGATTTAGATGGGAAAGATAAATATTTTTTCTTTCCATATTTTACCAATACATTTTTTCGATAAATCTGCAATTTTTTTATAAGCCATAAATGATTTGTTGGTTAAGAATTCGACACATAGAAAGAATTGTGCAAAATAATTGAGATATTTCCCTTAGTTTCTTTTTATATATGAAATGCTCGGAATGTTTTGTTTACATTTTTGTTCTTGAGATGAAGCTCAAGTCTTTCTGAAAAAAAGAAAAACATAATCGGCAATCCGATCGATAAGAAACAAAATATAGGTAGTAGGAATTTTAGATATCAACAACTCACATAGGAGTCAGTCATCGACGAATAAACGCAGAGGCAAGATTTCCAAATTTTTTGATGAGAGAACGAGAAAGAGATATTAGATCTAAAGCAAGAAGTGATGTTAGAATATTTCAATATATGAGATTCTTTATGTTTATATATCTAGCGTGCGTCATTGTAATGGCCTTTAACGTGACTTCGCGTTTGATTGGTTTCACTTGACCTTCTATGTAAATACAACGTCATCGCGGAATCGGACTTTAACGAGATATCCGGAAACGTATTTGCGCATCATCACTTGTGAAAGTCGTATAAGTTTGAACACTAATTTTATGCAAAATGAGATTCATGTCATTATTTTATCGTATTTTATAATGATTTTCAGTTTCTCGCCGACTTTTTGATTGTCACTGCGTGTCAGTCATCTGTCATATGATGACTATCACTATGATTATCGTTACAGTGTGCTTAAAAAGGATTTATCATCTAATTGAATAAGGATATGCAAGAAGAATATATGAGCGCATATAATATTATAAAGATTTAAGATAAATTTAAATTAGTCTAAAAAGACTAGATTTTAAATAAATTAAAAAACGCAGTTTAAATAGAACATTATTTTTCTCGAATTAAAAAAACTCCAGTTTATGTTTACGCTTATATTTCGCGTGTTAATAATATACAAATGTCTCATTTTGTCGTCACACATGTTTCCTATTTAATAACCTTGGTTCGTTCTTGATTAAATATGTTACAATGTATTTAATTTACAAATGTATATAAAGTATAGTCACGAAATGCAATTATGTTGCATATTTAAATGGACGGATACATTTCAGTTATAAATAATAACTAGTATATGCGACACGCGTATTTGTGAAAGCGCTAACGAGTTTCTCGGGCACACGTTTCAATTTACCACATTCTAATATTGTATGCGTTTATATTGCCTCTTTCAAAAATATCTCCTTTATAATTTATTTGTTGTTGCATTTTGTACAGAGTATAGTAACATGGTTGAATTTATTTTTACATAAAATAGATGCTCTATATGGTAACATCTATACGTCTTTATCAAGAAACAAATATTATCATGTTTCAATCGTCATTTACTTTTCTACAAAAATAATATTTCTTTTTTTTGTGCCGAAAAGATGCATTATTCGATTTCCGAGCAATACTTTGTTATATTTTTATTATCTCTTTATTATCGATATTTATATTTTTTTGCGATACGCTGTTTTTATAATCTCGATGGTATATGCGCGTCAATGATTGAAAGCTTTTTTATGAAAACATCAATAACTTATTCATATAGATATGCATATTATAATATTTTAATGTTTTACTCTTTTTTCCACAAATTTCTGCTCTTTCATAATTTATTTGCTCTACTATTTTATACCAATAAATAATATGCTTTAATTTAATATAACGAGCGTAAAATTTGCTAGAATTATTTAAATTTTTACATATTCTTATTTATTATATATTTATGTATTTATTATCTATTTTTTTAGAAAGATAAAATGCAATATATGTACGAAGGAAAGACATCGCTTGATATCGAAGGAAAGATTTATTCGTGTCATATGATGTGTCTTTGCCATCAAATGACCTGATGATAGTAGTCAATCTATGCTTTTAATCCATTTTAAGCCGCGCGTTTTCTTAATAGGAATCCGCAAGGAATAATGCAAATGTCAATCTTAATAGATTATGATCTCGTTAAAGGCGAATTTGTTACGTAAATGTCACTTGTAGGAGCGAAAGAGCGCGTGTATATTTAACTGAATCTGTGGGAGAAGCCATTCGATCTGTATGATGTTACATGGTTTCATCTTGAGCTTAAGCGATCTTTAGAGGTTCGAAGGCTTCGGATGTCGTATTTCTCGAAGTCATAGGAGACATCCTGCATTGCCAGATCAATCCTCGAGTCTATGTTAGGAATAGAATGCGCGATAAACATCGCGATTAGATCACATTTTTCACTTATTTGTAAGAATTATACTTGGAGAATTTTATTTTAAATATTGAAGATTTTTGTGTTGAATATATTTCTCTAATGTTGTTAAAATAATGTGATATATATTTTGAATATAAATATAAATTGTTTTAATTTTATAATATCAACGATGTTTCTTCATTATCGATAATTTATCAACGTTCAGCCAAAGATGTCTTTATATATTTTATTTTTGTGCGAGAGACTGAAATATATCTACATAATAAATATGCACGGATTTATAAACTCTTTATAAACTGATTTGACATTTAATACAAAGCATGCTCGAGAGTAATATCGCATCTCGGTGAGGAAATCAAGATATTTATTCTGTACGTATACGCGTATGTACGTGTATGCACATTATTTTTTGCCTTCACAAGCGCGTGCAATACCTATATTGATATACGATATGGAGATCTTGTACATATATTTGATTTAAAATAATACATTTTTAGATGAATCTCTTTACGGTCTGATATGTTCGAAAATTTAGTTGTAGAGATTTTATATATTATACATATAATATAATATAATATTATAATATAAAAGAGGTTTTATTACCGAATCGATTTCGAACATTATAATTAGATGGAAAATGTCCTATCTTTTATTATTTATTTCATTGATATTGGAGAGATATTCTCTGGATTTTCTCGTTATCTCTAAAATCAAATTCGATATCTAAATTCTCGATATCCCAATCAAAATTATCGGAATAATTCTTGTGGATAAGTGAAATATAGTTCTTCATTTAATGTTTCCCGTTCCTTTGTTACGGCGATTTCCTTCCCACTATTCATATTATTATCAGATTATCGGCTTTTTGTGTAATGACCCGAAGTGAGCCTCCCTTATCATTATTATAACACACGAAGAAAGTCGACAATTAGTCTTTCCCGCATTTAAATCACAAAAAGTTTTCTCATTCCGCTACTTTATAATTACTATTCATCTTACAGATTCTGGACGATACGGTTAGTTCACGACGCGAGTCTGTTCAGCAAGGACGCATCTTTTGAAAGTACGGACGGACCAATATCCTTCGACACGTCGCATTCTTATGTCGGTACTATTTTAGGTAAGTTCAATTATATTATTCTGTTTATATATAATTGATTGAAAAAATTATAAATTAAACTATTAATTAGTTTCATATAATTATTAACTGTATTATTAAATTAATTATTATTACTCAATTAAATACTATTTGAATTAAAACAAAATATTGAATAAATTATGTCTCTCATCATAAATTGAAAATATTTAATTTTACACAATTGAAGAGAACGTTAGAGCGAAATAATACATTTAAATTAAATTCTATATTTTTTTATCTATTTTATATAGAATTTTTCATTTCATTTTCTTCTCATTCTCATTTCCAACAAATCAAATTATTTTCTACAAGTATTATTATTAGTATTATTTTAACTGCAGTAATTTTTGGAATAAAATTATTTAACGATTTCATCGATGTATTGATCAAATTGTATATTCCATGGTTTTTAATTTAATTTTAAAATACGCGTTATATGATAATACAAATAATATAATTAACATTAATAATGTACAAAACTGTATATATTACAAATATTGTGCACTACGTTTATCCCGTTTGTTTAGAATCGATTATTCTTTCAAGTTTTTAAAATGTAATCTATTTTCTCTGTGTTTGTCTCCGTGCTGTGTAATAGATGTACTATTTGCGATAAAGCGCAAAATGCGTGTATCAAAGGGACTAAGTACGTTTGCGCGTAATTCCTTGCCCAAGTCGTGGATCTTGATTCGAGATTATCGTGATTATCTCGACAATCCGTTAATCTCAAAGCTCTCTCATCGTGCGTCAACGCCATACAGCTGCATAGATGTGAGAGCGCCGTGATAGTCATTGCAGCGCAACCAGATCAATATTTATACACGTTCACTCCGCGTATCGGAATTACATTGCGTAAACGAGGCGTATTATCGTCATTAGCGGCGCGGAGCGATCGCTGGCGAAAGAGT